CTAGGGAGAAACAAGTCAATTAACCCAGGGGTCCCCAACCCCCAGGCCATGGACTGGCATGGATCCGTGGCCTGTTAGGAACCAGGCTGCACAGCAGCAGGTGAGCAGGGTGTGGGGAGCAAGCATTTCCGCCTGAGCTCCGCTTCCTGTCAGATAAGTGGCAGCATTCCATTCTCATAGGAGCATGAACCCTATTGTAAACTGCACATATGAGGGATCGAGGTTACCTGCTCCTTATGAGAATCTAATGCCTGCTGATCTGAGGTAGAACAGTTTCATCCTGAAACCATCCTCCAATCCCCTGGATCCATAGAAAAGTTGTTTTCTATGAAACTGGTCCTTTGTGCCAGAAAGGCTGGGGACTGCTACATTAACCAGTAAGCAGAAATATAGTGAGTAATTTCTGTCTGGGTGAAAACTGAGTTGCCACTTATGATAGTAAGGGAGGTGCTATCCAAGAAATTAGAATTGATCTTAAAGTCCTTCTCTTTAAAAGTATAATAGTATATTCATTGAGATTCCATTATGAACACAATGCTGTCTCCATCAGAAATAAGCATTTTTTATACTTATTGAATACTTCAGTCATGTAGATTATATGTGGTCCCCCAAACGTCTTTTAAAAACTCACTTTATACATTTATTGCCCATGTATCTCTTTGTTCTTGTAGTCCCTCTCTGCCCTATGAGTAATACTAAAAAAAATGAGAAGTCAGTTTAGACGGTGCATCAGGCTTAAAGGACACAGAATGAAGGGAAGGTGGGGGAGATACGAGGTTAAAGAAGAAAATTATTCAGGAAATTTAAGAGACCTCCTTTGTTGTTGATACTTGGCGGATTAGAAAAACCCTATAGATAGTTTGTTCTAGTAACCACCTCTTTCCAAGATACATGTAGGTATCTTTAGAAAAATGAGTGATCTCAAGAATACAACAGGCTGGGCTCAGTAGCTAACACCTGTAAATTCCAGCACTTTGTGAAGCTAAGACAGAAGGATTACTTAAGCCCAAGAATTCGAGACCAGCCTGGGCAACATAGAGAGACCACCATTTCTACAGAAGATTTTTAAAAAGTAAGCCAGGCATGGTGGTATGTGCCTGTAGCCCCAGCTACTCAGGAAGCTGAGGTGGGAGGATACCTGGGGCCTAGGAGTTTGAGATTGCAGTGAGCTATGATTGTGCCATTGCACTCCAGGCTGGGAGACAGAGTGAGGCCCTGTCTCAAAAAAAAAAAAAAAGTACAATGGAAGTTTCTTAGATGAGCACTGTTCTTAAAATTCTTGATGTGCTCAACTTTGTGATGTGTGGTGAGGACTTTTACTGATAGGACAAGTTAGAGAATCCCATTAATTTTCCATGACTTCTGTCAGTATCTTGTGAATGTTCATCAGAATTTGCTGTCTGCACCATTCATGGCTCTAGGCAAATGCTTCAAGTATCCTTTGTCTTAAATCAGTATCCAATTTTATTCATCTTCCTATTTGTTGCTCATCACTTACTTATTGACCTATAGTTGTTACTTTGAAATACTACTTCAAAAAATGGTGATGTGTAATTAACAGATTTTATGGACAGTAACAGTCACTATTGAGTATTCAAAACTAAGAAATGCTAGGTATCTTAACTTTCTTTTTTTTTTTTTTTTTGAGACAGGGTCTAGCTCTCTTGCCCAGGCTGAAGGGTAGTGGCATGAACACAGCTCACTGCAGCCTCAACCTCCTGGGCTTAAGTGATCCTCCCACCTTAAACTCCCAAGTAGCTAGGCCCATGGGTGCATGCCACCACACCCAGCTGGTGTGTGTGTGTGTGTGTCTGTATGTGTGTGTGTCTATATGTGTGTGTGTAGATACAAGGTCTCACCATGTTGCCTGGGCTTGTCTTGAACTCCTGGGCTCAAGCAGTCCTCCTGCCTTGCCTCCCAAAATGCTAGGATTACTGGCATGAGCTACTAAGCCTGGTGTATCAGCTTTTTTGTGTATGTGTCTTTTAGAGATAAAGTCTCTTGGCCAGTATAATTTTTACAAGTCTGAAATTAAAGTTTCTAATCTTGTTTATTTTGTTGAAATTGATTTTTTTTTCTCCTTAAGTTATAACAGAGGCATTCTGTCAGATATAATTAATTGGTTACAGTTGAATCATGATGAGATGCCTTAGTTTGTAATCCAGATTTATGTGAGGAGGACATATTTCTTTGATCTGATTTCTTTTCTATTTATTAGAAAAAAATGGTATTGAAGTATTTTTCTTAATGCAGAATAATATTAAAATAGGGGTATTTTAATGACACAGTTTTACTTTGGATCTGAAGTTTAAATATGGTGGTTTTAATCTCAAAAGAAATAGTAAAATTGCTATGTATGCCAAGAAAACTTATACAAATTTAACGTAATCTTTATAAAACAATAATAATATATACTTATTTCTGATTGGTTATTTTTTAAGCTGCCTTCAGTAGGTTACATTAGCTCATTAAAATACATCTTTAGTGTGATTTTTTTCTGATGTGTTTATCTTCAAAGTAAAAGGTGGTACTTCTAAAGTGCTGTAACTTGCCAAACTCAAAGATAAAAGAGGGACATAGATTTGTGCTTTTGGAGTCAAGTTGGGCCTACACCATGAAGCCTTATTAAAATGTTAGTTTGTTCTGACAAGTGCCATGAGTATTTTTAAGAACCTGAACATGTTTCTAAAGGTTAATAGACAGACAAAAGCCCCTTAAGGAAAAATAAAAGCACTGTTGAAGTCATGTACTTCTGTTCAAATCATAGCCTCCCTTTTAGACATATTTTATGCTTCTGCTTAAATTTTTAGATTTTATTACTTGTTAGCAATTTGCATAGAATCATTCAGAATTGTAAATTTAGGTAGTAATAGAACTACTCAATTTTTTCAACTCTCTGTCTAGAAAAGCATTTTTTGCATTCTTTATGTTTGTTTAAAACGCAACTGTTTCTATATAAGTTTAATACTAGATATTTATACATAAAAGACAACATGGTAGTATAATGACATCATATTCTTTTACTATTTCATTTGAAAATTACAAAGATAATATCTTCAGTTTGTTTTGTTACGGGTACATATTATTTTTAATATACCAAGAACAGAACTTATATGTTAATAAAAATCCTTAGGAAAGCTTAAATGCTGAGAAATACTGTAACAATTTAAGTTCTATTGAATCAGAATTAACATTTCTAAAATATATATAAATTACATTATAACAGTACATTTATGCAATCAGTTTTTACTGAGTTTCACATGCAGTAACCAAGCATTCTTTGTTAATCTATGACTTAGTCATTTAATGTAGATTAATAATAATTCTGCATTTATGCAATCCATGATTTTGAGCAGGTAGTTCTTTTTTCTCTTAATGTAAGTTTATTATAATAGCACAGCTAATCACTGATTATCCAATAAATGAATACAGAAAAGAGCATTAAGAAGTATAATTTAAAAATTTTTAATTTTATTTGAGTCAGTATTTTAATGTTTTTTCAGTAGCAACTTCTGTAACTTACTCTACCACTTTAAAAAAAGCTTTCGGTGACACATCTAAAAAGTAGACAAGTTGACAGCTTGTATAATTTCATTTTAGCTCATTAATCTAGTTTCTATTAGAGGTGCTAAGGATGAATGACTTATGATTAAAAGACGGGGGTAGGGGAATCTTAAATAATTCACATGCTAAATCACCTTGGAAAAAGACAGCAAATGAACTCAGCATTTCACAGGAAACCTTTTTTTTCCCCAAACTTATCTCAAGAGTATATTATTCTGACAAAAAAAAAAAAAAATGTGGCTACAGTAAACACCATAACTTTCATAATTCATAGAATGTACTCAAATAATTCAATTCGTTAAAGTATTTTATCTTCTGGTTCTAGTCCTTTTAAAGAATAAAGTAATGCTTGAGATGTTCTATAAACCCTTAGTCATATTAGCACATTATGGGTTCCTTTTATTAGCATTTTTTTCAAGTATTTCAGTTAAATAAAAAATCCCAATTGCACACTCTGCATTGTAGGCATGGGAAAATCTGACTTTTAGCCTTGCCATCAAGTCAACATTGTCCTTTAAGATTCCTATTTTTAACCTCATTAATTCCAGCTAATAAAATAAAAACCTCATAAATACTCAAACAATACTCTAGACTAGACAAAATGGTTGCAAAATTGTGTACCTCATTTCATTGCCTTCGTGGAAATTTATATTAATTAATTTATGCTCCCTCTTCATCACTGATATGGCTACCATAGATCCTCAAAGGGGAAGAATACATCTCAGGAAGTATGTAGAGTTAAAAATTTCATTATCAGAAATCATTTTATATTATAAAGTTCATCTTAAGAGAATTTAAAAAACTATATTCATTTGCAACCAATATGATTTCTAAACCTTTTACTAGTTTCATGGTGATATTTGGCTGTAGCAATTGCTGTTCCTAAATTTTTCATAGAGCTCTTATGGTAGAGACATACAAGAAGTAATGTTCATTAAGTAATATAATTATCACCAACAATACTAGCTCTTTCGATTCATTGACCTTTATTAGATACTTTGGAAAACACAGCTCAAGAGGCAGTCACACAATTTTGTGGGCTTGTAGTTTCGTGATTCCAAACTTAAGCTTTGCAAATGGCTGCTCACCCACTTCAAGTGGTCGTCAGGTGACTTTTAACATTATATTCATTCATATGATCACTTGAATAGAGAATGTGCTGTGGGAAAAAGAAAAAAGAGATTGATATTGCAAAGTTGACTTGAGTCCCTTCCTTAATACCTGATTGTGTATGTTGATGTTTTACCCTACTGTCCATCATTCCTTTTTAACTCACATCATGCTGAATTACATGTAAATTATTGTTTTAAAAATATTTCTGAAAAAATGTTATAGTGTATTTTCTTAAGATGTAAAAACTTACAAAATTTAGCATGTCTTGAAGGAAAAATTCTTAGTATTCTAATGGCTTTTTAAAATAATCATTTATTTGCTAGGTAAGTTCTCTTCTACGCTGTATGAGACTGGTGGCTGTGATATGTCACTTGTGAATTTTGAACCGGCAGCAAGAAGAGCATCTAATATCTGGTATGTGTGAAGCCACATTAGGAGCATGTGTACTTTCATATGTTTACCATGTTTAATGTTTTTAAGCTTAGAACTATAAAAGTTAATTTTTTTGTTTTTATAATTTTTTTAATGTTTCTGATTGACAAATAAAAATTATAAACATTTATGGCATACAACCTGATGCTTTGAAACATCGTATGTATACATTGTAGAATGGCTAAGTTCAACTAAAATTAACATGTATTACCTCACATACTTAAAATTTTGTTTGTGGTGAGGACACTTAAATCTACTCTTTTAGTGATTTTCAAGTATTTAATGCATCGTTAAATATAGTCACCAGGTCAGATATAAGATTTATTTTGAAAACATCTTTATATTGTTTGTAATAATTTGTCACAATACATTTGTTTCTAAAAACTTAAGGTAGAATTTTTTTGCTGTGGAAAAAAGAAAGCATTATTATTGTCATTATTATTTTTTTTTTCTTTTTGAGATGGAGTTTCGCTCTTGTTACCCAGGCTGGAGTGCAATGGCACGATCTCGGCGCACCGCAACCTCCGCCTCTTGGGTTCAGGCAATTCTCCTGCCTCAGCCTCCTGAGTAGCTGGGATTACAGGCACGCGCCACCATGCCCAGCTAATTTTTTGTATTTTTAGTAGAGACGGGGTTTCACCACGTTGACCAGGATGGTCTCGATCTCTTGACCTCGTGATCTACCCGCCTCGGCCTCCCAACGTGCTGGGATTACAGTCTTGAGCCACCGCACCCGGCAGAAAGCATTATTTTTAAAATAAAAGCTATTCTGTATTTTAAAGCTAAATCAAAATATTCCGAAGATCTTATAGTGGCACAGTGTTTTCCCACAGTGTCAAATTCAGTTGTAAATTTCACATTCTCTATATATTGTATAATGTATTAAAGCCAATCAGGACTTAACTCTTCTTGTAAGTTCCTACATAACTAAGTTCAAGCCCATCAGTTAGTTCTCTTTCTTTATGTAATTTAAAAATTTTATTTCCCTGTAAGTGTTTGGTCAAGTACCTTTTTAAATAATCAGCTTTCATTTTGTTTTAAATTTACTAGCTTTAAGGAAGAATTTCTTAAAGTGTATGTCATATGTTACCTTTCGCTTTTTTTCTTTTCCCCCTTCTGAAGAAATTTGTAAGATAAGGAAGTCAGAAGAGCAAATAAATTAGAAATCTTGATCATAAAACATAATTACAGTTTTAGAAGGTGTTAAAATTTTTGTTTTCTAAAATTTTGATCTTATTGCTTATCTATTCAAATTGCACTTTGAAGCCTATTCTTGATTAATTAGCTGTCTTTTCCCTCAAGAGTTATTGATTCTTATTTTAGGACTTGTTTAATAATACATCATGTCTATTTACATATTACACATCTATGGGCAGTTTACTTATTTTTTTGTTTTGAGGGACCTTTTAAAGCAGTAAGATCTTGCAGTCATTTAGCTCCACATGCTGAAAAAGTAGAACATATAGATGACTATGCTCTTTAAGCTCCTTTGGTCCAGTTTCAGAATTCACTCTCTCAAAAAAATTATTAAATTGGACTCTTACCCTGATTCTGTAACAGTGGAAACAGTAGGAGGATGGAGGGATAGAAACGCCGTTACCGTGTTTAATGTAATTCAGCAGAACAATTTCTTATACCATAAATGTGGTAAAGTCTCAAGTTTTAAAATCCAAACATCACTGAACTGTGGAAACTGAATTATGTTGTAGGTTATTACATTATAGCTTAAGTTTATTGTGTCTTTACTGGTTAGCAATATGTTAATTGTTTTCTTTGGATTATCTCATTTAAACACTTTCACAAGAATGTTGTGATACAGATGCTATTGTTATATGTTACTGAAGAGGAAATGGAAGTATAAAGTGGGTAGGTAACTATTCCAAGATCTTACTCATTTGAAGAGATTTGAATGTAGACACTGAACCAGAGGCTATGCTCTTATCACAACTCTAGGAAAATGCTATTTTACATTTTGAAGTTAACATGGAAAAGTGAAGATATGTGAATCTCATCTGATTGTTAAAGGATATATTTTTCTTTCTGTTTGACAAACTGTTCCCTAAAGTCTTTCTTATTTTATTTTAGTGACACAGATTCTCATGTATCCAGTTCTACCTCAGTTCGATTTTATCCACATGATGTGGTAGGTTTTTCCCTTCTTTTTACAAGATGATGTGTTTTCAGATTAAATATGAAATATGTGTTTATATAGCTAACTATGAAAGCCATAAAAATTGATGAAGTTACAAAAAAATTTTTTGCAAACTATGGTAAAATCACCTTTGCTGTCTTTGTCCTCCAGTGGCTCTCTTTTTCTAAGTCCTTTAGTAAGAAACAAAAGTACAAAGTTAAGAAGCCCTGGGATAGAGTATTTTAAAAATTATTTTGGAAAGTATTTGTCAGTGCTTAGAGATAGAAATGGCTGTGTTAGATATAGAAAGTAAATTTTCTCAACTGTACCCAGATATGTGTTTGAAAAGTAAAACCCTCCCTACTTTTTGGCTATAGTGTATTCCTGGAAACTCCATAGGAAAGCAAACATGGGAAGATCATTGTTTTATTGTTTTCTACTTTTAAATGATAAGGGGAGTCTTGAGGTAGCGAAATGCTGCCTAGTACTATGGCAGATACAGTTAACTTTCGATGCTTTCAGGGGAAAAGGAAACTGGTAAACTCACGCATGGATGAGTTAAAGTTAAAAGAAAGGTAGTATAGTAATTTCTTATGTAGCCTCAAGTGAACAGCCTACCAAAACAAACAAACAAAAAACAGCAAAAAAAACAGGGGCAAGGGATTTGGAAATATAGTTAACAACAATTATAAGAAACTATGGGAAGAAATAAAGTTGCTGCCATCAGCTCCAGTGCAGTGGAGCCCAGATTTGACACTGATAATGAGGTTCAGAGCTTAAGGAGAAAAGATGATAAAGATGACAGGGAGAATAGAAGCCACTAACGATTCACAATAAGTGGTTTTAATGGATTTGCTAGCTATACAGTTACAAAATCTTAAGATTTTTTTCTTAAGCATTCTCTGAGAAAATCTTAAGGTTTTAAAAACTTTTCTAGTCAATGATTTACAAAAGGCTTATTGATTAATTTATTTTGTTTTAGTTCACTTCCTATTGTCACCTTCTATGGTTTCTGGTAATCATATTCATAAAGAGTAGCCTGGGCGCAGTGGTTCATGCTTATAATTCTAGCACTTTGGGAGGCTGAGGCGGATGGATCACGAGGTCAGTAGTTGAAGACCAGCCTGGCCAAGATGGGAAACCCTGTCTCTATTTAAAATACAAAAAAAAAATTAGCCAAGTATGGTGGCAGGCACCTGTAATCCCAGCTACTTGGGAGGCTGAGGCAGAGAAGTGAATTGGTTGATCCCGGGAGGCAGAGGTTACAGTGAGCCGAGATTGTGCCACTGCACTCCATCATGGGTGACAGAGCAAGACTCCGTCTCCAAAAAAAAAAAAGAGTGTACTAGAGAAGAAAATTAAGAGGCTTAGATAACTGATAAGCTAATTGAGTAATTCTTGAATCTTGAAGATTTTTTTTGAATGAACATATTTAATAAATATTGAAAGTATTTTAAGCCTTTCAATGCTGACTTTCTTTTAGCTCTCTCTCCCACAGATTCGATTGAATAGACTATTGACCATTGATACAGATTTGTTGGAGCAACAGGACATTGATCTAAGCCCTGACTTGGCAGCTACTTATGGCCCAACAGAAGAAGCTGCCCAAAAGGTTAAACACTATTACCGTTTTTGGATCCTACCCCAGCTGTGGATTGGCATTAACTTTGACAGACTCACACTTTTGGCCCTGTTTGATAGGTGAGATTATATTATGACATTAACGATACATGTAGATTTTAAGTTGAAGTGTCCTTAATTACCCACTGAGGTTTTTAAGTGGTTATCATGTTGGGAAATGTTTTCTGCTTTTGTCCTCATGAGACGAAACTTAAGGTAATAGGGCTTCTAAACATTGCCTATCTTAAATCCATTAAAAATGTTTTTGTTGCAATTTTAGTACTTTATACAAAGAAATTATTTTTGTTATCAATGAGAGTCATACAACTGCTACTCAAAAGCCAAAGAATATGAGATGTTAATGATCTTAAGGTTATAGGTAATATAATCCAAAATAATATATAACAGTTATAAGAGGAAGATTCTGTTTCTGTTTCTTAACATTCCTATATTAACGGAAAACACCTGAGTCTACTGTATAACAAACTTAGTGACCAACAGCTGCTTCCAGTCAACATGGAGTAATAGGACTGGATTTATATCCCATGTGAAACAACCAAAAATAGACAAAGTACATGAAACAGTGGTTTTCAAGACATTGGAGATGAGAAAGAAAAGGACAGTGATCCCTGAGAGATGGCAACAAATAACATGAACCCTACAATTGCCCCAGCTTAACACTTTGAGGGAGTTTCTAGGCTGCAAGACAGGAAGGGAGAACTGAAATAGAGTCCAGCTGACTTAAGGACTTGCTGAGTTAAGGAGATAGAGCTAAGAGTCCAGGGAGACTAAGGCAGTTAGAGCCCATAGGACAGACTGTCAGAGAGGAGAGAGCTGCTTAGAGAGAGAACCTTAGAGATATGCATTGAGTCACCTTGACTGTTTGACAGAGTATGGATAAGTTCCTATATGTGAGGAAAATATCTGAGGCCAGGGAAAGAGCCATGTGAAAAGGAATAGAGGAACAGTTGCTGGCAATCACACAGCACTGGAAATAGTACATTTCTCTATCAGCCAGATTAGAGATGTTTATGATTCATATTTTATGGTACCTTGTGTAGAATACTAAGGAAGATCTTTGAAAGTGGGGAATATAATTAGCCCTAGCAGGAGCACTACTTCCAGCCCACCTAACAAGTCATAAAACACAGACCTAAAGGGATCAAACTGCTTCCAAGTAACATAAAGTCTAAGAAGATTTATGGAAATCCAGAAATATGCAGCACCCAACAAGTTAAGATTCAGCATGTCTAGCATTCAGTCAAAGATGACCAGATATGCAAAGAAGTGAGAAAACATGACCTATAACAAGAATAATAAATCAGTTGAGACCAAACTGTAGCTTGCATAGATATTAGAATTAGCAGACAAGGACATTAAAACAGTTATAACTGCTTTCCAAATGTTTAAAAAGTTAACTACAAAAAAAAAAAAAGAAAGAAAAATATAAAAACTACAGACATAGAAGATACTTTCAAAAGTCCCAAATCAAACTTACAGAGCTGAAAACTATAATCTCTGAGATTAAAAATGTACTGAATATGATTAATGGTAGATTGAACATTGTAGAAGAAAAGATTAGTGAACTCGAAGACATAGCAGTGGAAACTATCCAGAATGAAACAGAAAGAAGAGTCTTCTCCCCACTGTCCCCAATGAAAAGAGTATAAAAACAAAATGAGAGAAAGCTGTGGGACAACTACAAGAGGAAATAAGGAGACAAAAGATTTTGAAGAAATAAGGGTGGAGAACTTTCCAAATTTGATGAAAACTATGAACACATTCAAGAAGCCCAGTGAACCTTAAGCATAAAGTGCTTGAATAAAACTACACCAATACACACAACTGCTCAAAACCAATGAAAAAATTTTTTAAATTGCAAGAGAAAAAAAGAGGAGCAAGGATAAGGAAGACATTATTTTTATTGTTGGAAATAATGAAATGAAAAGACAGTAGAGGAGCATCTTTAAAGCATTGAAAAGAAAAAAAACCCTGTCAACCTACAATTCTATACATAGCAAAAATATCTTTTAAAAACCAAAGTGAAATAAAGACATTTTTGGATTAGAAAAAATGGGAAGAATTCTTTATGAGCAGACCCACACTACAAAAAATGTTGAAAGATGTCTTTCAGGCAGAAGGAAAGTTATCTCAGATGGAAATATGAGTCTACCCAAAGGAACAAAAATAAATGGAAATGGTAAGTCACTACATGGATAAATATAAAAGATTTTTTCTTATTAATTAAATCTCTTTAAGAGTTTAAACTGTTTAAACAAAAATAATGCTTTGTGTGGTTTATAACATGTAAAAGTAAAATTTATGATAATAGCACAAAGACAGAGAAGGAAGGAATAAAAGCATACTATTGTAAGTTTCTTGTATGTGACATGATATAGCTTTGAAGGTAAGACTGTCATAAATGTGTATTGTAAACCCTAGGCTGCACACAGTAGCTTATACCTGTAATCCCAGCTCTTTGGGAGGCTGAGGCAGGAGGATCACTTGTGAGCCCAGGAGTTTGAGGCCAGTCTTGGCAACCTAGTGAGACCCTGTCTGTACAAACATATTTTTAAAAATTCTTACCAAAACCTACCCTAAGGCAACCGTTAAAATAACAAAAGACTTGTAGCTAATATGTCAAAATGAGATAAGATGGATTATAACAATTACTGTTAATCAATAAAATGGAAGAAGATCAAAGAACAGATGAGACAAATAGGAAACAAATGACTTGGCAGATTAGATAAAGAACAAGACTCAACTCCAAGCTGCCTACAAGGAATGTACTTTAACTGTAAAAACAGAGGCTAGTGTGGTGGCTTATGCCTGTAATCCCAGCACTTTGGGAGGCTGAGGTGGGAGGACCTCTTGAGGCCCAGTTTTCAAAACCAGCCTGGCTAACATAGACCCAGTTTCTACCAAAACAAAATACAAACAAATAGGTTAAAAGATGGAGAAAGCTATACCATGCTAACGTTAACGAAAGGCTTATTGTAGTGGCTGTATTAAAGTAAGATAAAGTAGATTTCAGAACAAAGAATATTACCAAGGATAAAAAAGGCCATCTCATAATGATAAAGAGTCAATCCACAGGATTTAACAGTCCTGAATGTTTGTATACCTAAAAACAGAGCTTTGGAATTTATAAAGCAAAAGCTAATAGAAGTAAAGAAATGGACAAACCACAGTTATAGGTGATTTCAGCATTTCTTTTTAAATAATTGATAGACTATTTAGAAAATCAGTGAGGATATGTAGTGAACTTTAACGGTATTATCAACCAACCTAAATTGGTTGACATTTACGGAACGAATACTACACCCATAACAAGAGAATATACATTTTCCTAACTGTTCACAGAATATGTACTGAGATAGATCATATTTTTAGCCATAATATAAGAGTCAGTAAATTTTTTTTTTTTTTTTTTTTTTTTTTTGAGATGGAGATTTGCTTTTGTTACCCAGGCTGGAGTGCAATGGCGTGATCTCCGCCTCCTGGGTTCAGGCAATTCTCCTGCCTCAGCCTCCTGAGTAGCTGGGATTACAGGCACGTGCCACCATGCCCAGCTAATTTTTTATGTATTTTTAGTAGAGACGGGGTTTCACCATGTTGACCAGGATGGTCTCGATCTCTCGAACTCATGATCCACCCGCCTCGGCCTCCCAAAGTGCTGGGATTACAGGCTTGAGCCACCGTGCACTGGCCAAGAGTCAGTAAATTTTAAAAGATCCACTGTCCAATTGTACGTAGTGGGATTAAATGGTAAATTAAAGCAAATAGAACCTTGGAAAATCCCCAAATATTTGAAAACTAAATAACACTTCTAAATAACACATGGATTAGAGAAGATGTCAAGAGAGAAATTAGTAGATGCCACTAACCTGCAGTGCCTAGGAAAATTTATAGCACTAAACACCTTGGTTAGAAAAGAAAGGTCTCAAATCAGTGACTTAAACTTCCACTTACTAGAAGAACAAGAGCACATAAGCCCAAGTAAACAAAAGAAACCTAATAGTAAGGAACAAAACAATTCAGTGAGGACACAGAGAAACAATAAAGAAAATCAAGGAAATGAAAAGTTTGAGAACATCAATTGATAAACCTTCAGCCTGCCTGACTAGAAAAAAAAAGAAGAGGAAAGACATAGATTACCGATATGAAGAATGTGAGTTATGATATCACTACAGACTGTACAGGTATTAAAAGGATAATTAGAGAATGCTGTGAGCAGCTACATGCAAATAAATTCAGCATTGGACAAATGAACAAATTTCTTGAAAGACAAATTATGAAATTTCATTCTGAAAGAAGTACGTGACCTTAATTGTCTTATATGTATTAAGTAAGTGGAAATTGTACCACTTACTTAGTTTAGAAACTATACCACAAAGAAAACTCTAGGCCCAGGTGGCATCAAAATAATATTCAGATGAATGAAATGGAGAAAGGATAGCCTTTTCAACAAATGGTGGTGGAACAATTGGATTTACTTAACGTAGAAAAATAGAGATGGATGCAGAGGTGTGTGCTCAGGAGGCTGAGGTGAGAGAATTGTTTGAGACCAGCCTGGGCAACATAGCAAAATCTCATCTCAAGCAAATAAAAATAAGGAACTTGTAGCCTTACCTCGTGCCACATTATGAAAATGTATTATAGGCTTAAATATGAAACCTAAAACAAAACTTCTGGGAAAATAAAGAAAACATAGGAGAAAATTTTTATGAGCTTGGATTAGACAAAATTACTTAGCTATGACGCCAAAAACAAGATCAATAAAAAAAATTGATACATTGGACTCATCAAAATTGAAATTTTTTTAAAAGCTAAAGACAAGACAAGACATGTTCAATGACAAGGGAGGCACTATTCAGGCAGGCCAAGGATTGAAAAGAGGTCATTGGATTTAGCAAATCTGAAATTGCCTAACTACCACCTAAAATCCAATAGAAATGCTAGTAACGTATTGATTTGGAAATACTATTGAACTTTTTTATCTGGTAGAACCATTAAAGGAAATAGTACAAAGATGTTTATGAATTTTATTTTTAGGCCCAATTGATTGTGATAAATATGGAATTGGGTTAATAAAAAAATTTTTCGTTATGATTATAAAAGTAATTCCTTATTGTAGAAAATTTAAATATGTACAAAGTTTTGAAGACAGAGGCAAACCATAATTCTTCCATGGAAAGAAGCATCATTAGTAATGCTATTTTTGATACATTATCCTTTTTAACCTATATGTTTAATTTTTTAATAGCAGAACTTATATCCTTCTATGCTCATGGTTTTTTATCCTGCTTTCTTTATGTAGCAGATGTGCTGAGCATTTTTTCATTTTTTAATACTTTAAAAATATGACTTAAAAGTATTTTAGGGAAATACTAAAGGATGTATTTATTTAACATTTTGTGAATAAAATTTTCCCAGGAAGTAATGAGATAGATTCTTGTGTGTGTATGACATAAAAATAATCTTCATTTATATATATACGTGTATATATATATATATATATATATATACACACACACACACACATATGTAATTTTGAGCATCATATTGTTTCTCTTACAGTGTCAGTTTAATAAAGCATAGACTTGTCTTAGCAACTTTGATAGAAGCAGATAGAGGTGTCTGTCCCTACCTTTATTCTCAAGATATGTAACAGCCCATATTTAAGTAATTCTAATAAGTGAATTTCTATTTCTTTCAGATGATTCAGAGATGGGGGAAGTGAAATCACTTAGTGCCACAATTTTGCTACAACTTTGTCAAATAACAAATGTTTTAAATTTAATTTTCTAGAAACTATTTTGAGATTTTGTTTTTTAAACATAGCTTGATTCTTTGTATGCATATTTTATTTGTCATCCAAGTTGGTTAGCTGTTTGCAACCAATGAAACAGAAAAGCAGATATTAAGGAGAGTAATATTTTTAAAATAGAAATTAAAACTATGTTATGTAATTGGAACTCCACAGTTCACTGTAGCATGTTTTATTTGTATGTAAGAATTCATGTTATGTCCATATGAAACTAGTTTAAGTATGATCTAAAACCGTGTTCAAACTCAGTACCAAAAAGACATCTCAGCTATTATGAATTTCATATTTATGTCTTTCCTTCCCTTTTTAACATTCAGTTAATTTCTTATATTTATGATATACTTACTCATAAGTTTTTATATCTGTAGAAATCGTGAGATCCTGGAAAATGTGTTAGCTGTCATCCTGGCTATTCTCGTGGCTTTTTTGGGATCTATTCTTCTCATACAAGGCTTCTTCAGAGATATCTGGGTTTTCCAGTTCTGCCTGGTCATAGCCAGTTGTCAATACTCACTACTTAAGGTACCAGCATCTTTTCTTTTCATGCTGTGGAATTATATTTGTGTTAAAGGCAGAAGATTTTGTAATTTACTGAATTAGAGTAAGATAATTAGAGTAAGGCAGATTTTGTAATTTACTGAATTAGAGTAAGAATTATTTTTAGGCTTATATTTCTTGGACGTTTACATAAAATGTGTAGAGAACAAAAGGGGGGATATAAATCTTAAAAATAATTAAGATTATGTTTTAATATGTAAATTTATGGAAGTTTTAATTATGCAAATTAGAACTTTCTAAAAACTTTTTTTGTATTAAAAGAAAATTGTATTTGTTAAAATAAGAATTTGCTCTTTTTTTTTTTTTTAACAGTAGTAGATTTTTTTTTTTATTGTAAGTTCTGGGTTATATGTTCAGAATGTGCAGGTTTGTTATACATAGGTATACATGTGCCATGGTGGTTTGCTGCACCTATCAACCTGTCATCTACATTAGGTATTTCTCCTAATGTTATCCTTCCCCTAGTGCCTCTTCCTTTGACAGGCCCTGGTGTGTGATATTCCCCTCCTTGTGTCCATGTGTTCTCACTGTTCAACACCCACTTAAGAGTGAGAATATGCAGTGTTTGATTTTCTGTTCCTATGTTAGTTTGCTGAGAATGACGGTTTCCAGCTTCATCCATGTCCACGCAAAGGACATAAACTCATCCCTTTTTATAGCTGCATAGTATTCCATGGTATATATGTGGCACATTTTCTTTATCCAGTCTATCATTGATGGGCATTTGGGTTGGTTCCAAGTCTTTGTTATTGTGAGCAGTGCTGCAGTAAACATACATGTGCATGTGTCTTTATAGTAGAATGATTTATAATCCTTTGGGTATATACCCAGTAATGGGATTGCTGGGTCAAGTGGTATTTCTAGTTCTAGATCCCTGAGGAATCGCCACACTGCCTTCCACAGTGGTTGAACTAATTTACACTCCCAACAACAGTGCAAAAACATTCCTATTTCTCTACATCCTCTCTAGTATCTGTTGTTTCCTGACTTTTTAATGATCGCCATGCTAATTGACATGAGATGGTATCTCATTGTAGTTTTGATTTCCATTTCTCTAATGACAGGGATGATGAGCTTTTTTTCATGTTTGTTGGCTACATAAATGTCTTCTTTTGAGAAGTGTCTGTTCATATCCTTTGCCCACTTTTTGATGGAGTTGTTTTTTTCTTTTAAATTTGTTTAAATTCCTTGTAGATTCTGGATATTAGCCCTTTGTCAGATGGGTAGATTGCAAACATTTTCTCCTGTTCTATAGGTTGTCTGTTCACTCTCATGATAGTTTCTTTTGCTGTACAGAAGCTCTTTAGTTTAATTCAATCCCACTTTTCAATATTGGCTTTTGTTGCCATTACTTTTGGTGTTTAGTCATGAAGTTTTCGCTCATATGTGTGTCCTGAATGGTATTGCCCTAGGTTTTCTTCTGTGGTTTTTATGGTGTTAGATCTTACATTTGTGTCTTTAATCCATCTGGAGTTAATTTTTGTATAAGGTGTAAGGAAGGGGTCCAGTTTTAGTTTTTTGCATATGGCTAGCTGGTTTTCCTAACACCATTTATTAAATAAGGAATTATTTTCCCATTGCTTATTTTTGTCAGGGTTGTTCAAGATCAGATGACTGTAGATGTGGCATAATTTTTGAGGCCTCTGTTCTGTTCCATTGGTGTATAAATCTCTTTTGGTCCCAGTACCAAGCTGGTTTGGTTTGTAGCCTTGTAGTATAGTTTGAAGTCAGGTAGCATGATGCCATCAGCTTTGTTCTTTTTGCCTAGCATTGTCTTGGCTATACAGGCTCTTTTTTGGTTCCATATGAAATTTAAAGTAGTTTTTTCTAATTCTGTGAAGAAAGCCAATGGTATCTTGATGAGGATAGCATTGAATCTATAAATTACTTTGGGCAGTATGGCCATTTTCACGATATTGATTATTCCCATCCATGAATATGGAATGTTTTTCCATTCGTTTGTGTCCTCTCTTATTTCCTTGAGCGGTGGTTTGTAGTTCTCCTTGAAGAGGTCCTTCACATCTGTTGTAAGTTGTATTCCTAGGTATTTTATTACTCTTTGTAGCATTTGTGAATCGGAGTTCACTCATAATTTGGCTCTCTGTTTGTCTATTACTGGTATATAGGAATGCTTGTGATTTTTGCACATTGATTTTGTATCCTGAGACTTTGCTGAAGGTTGCTTATCAGCTTAAGGAGATTTTGGGCTGAGACGATAAGGTTTTCTAAATATACAATGATGTCATCTACAAACAGAGATGATTTGAATTCCTCTCTTCCTATTTGAATACCCTTTGTTTCTTTCTCTTGCCTGAGTATCCTGGCCAGAACTTCCAATACTGTGCTGAATAGAAGTGGTGAGTGAAGTTATCCTTGTCTTCTGCTGGTTTTCAAAGGGAATGCTTCCAGCTTTTGCCCATTCAGTATGATATTGGGTATCGGTTTGTCATAAATAACTCTTATTATTTTGAGATACTTTCCATCAGTCCCTAGTTTCTTGAGAGTTTTTAGCATGAAGGGGTGTTGAATTTTATTGAAGGCCTTTTCTGCATCTATTGAGATAAATCATGTGGTTTTTGTTACTGGTTCTGTTTATGCGATGGACTGCATTTATTAATTTGCATATGTCGAACCAGCCTTGCATCCTGGCGTGAAGCTGACTTGATCATGGTGGATAAGCTTTTTGATGCACTGCTGGATTTGGTTTGCTAGTATTTTATGGAGGATTTTCGCATTGATGTTCATCAGGGATATTGGCCTGAAATTTCCTTTTTTTGTTGTTTCTCTGCCGGGTTTTGATATCAGGATGATGCTGGCCTCATAAAATGAGTTAGGGAGGACTCCCTCTTTTTGTATAGTTTGGAATACTTTCAGAAGGTATGGTACCAGCTCCTCTTTGTACCTCTGGTAGAATTTGGCTGTGAATCCATCTGGTCGTGGGCTTTTTTTTTTGGTTGGTGGGCTATTACTGCCTCAATTTCAGAACTTATTATTGGTCTGTTCAGGGATTTGACTTCTTCCTGGTTTAGTCTTGGAAGAGTGTATGTGTCCAGGAATTTATCCTTTATTTCTTCTAGGTTTTCTAGTTTATTTGCATAGAGGTGTTTATAGTATTCTCTGTTGGTATGGTATTTTCTCTTAGTTGGTAGGCTATTAATTACTGCCTTAATTTCAGATCTCATTATTAGTCTATTCAGAGATCAGTTTCTTCCTGATTTATTCTTGAGAGGGTGTATGTGTCCAGGAATTCATCCATTTCTTATAGGTTTTCTAATTTATTTGTGTAGAGGTGTTCATAGTATTCTTTAGTTTATTTGTGTAGAGGTATTTATAGATTTTCTAGTTTATTTGTGTAGAGGTGTTTATAGTATTCTCTGATGATGAAATCCCCTTTATCATTTTTTATTGTATCTATTTGATTCTTCTCTCTTTTCTTCTTTATTAGTCTGGCTAGTGGTCTATATATTTTGTTAACATTTTCAAAAAACCAGCCCCAGATTCATTGCTTTTTTTTTCCTTTTTGGTAAGGTGTATTGTGTATTTCCTTCAGTTCTGCTGTGATTTTAATTATTTCTTATCTTCTGCTAGCTTTTGAATTCGTTTGCTCTTGCTTCTCTAGTTCTATTAATTGTGATGTTAGGGTGTCGATTTTAGATCTTTTCCGCTTTCTCCTGTGGACATTTAGTGCTATAAATTTCCCTCTAGACACTGCTTTAGCTGTGTCCCCCAGAGATTCTGGTACATTGTGTCTTTGTTCTCATTGGTTTCAAGGAACTTATTTATTTCTGCCGTTATTTTGTTATTTACCTAGTAGTCATTCAGGAGCAGGTTGTTGAGTTTCCATGTAGTTTTGCAGTTTTGACTGAGTTTCCTAATCCTGAGTTCTAATTTGATTGCACTGTGGTCTGAGAGACTCTTTGTTACGATTTCCATTCTTTTGCATTTGCTCAAGAGTGCTTCACTTTCAATTATGTGGTTAATTTCAGAATAAGTGCTATGTGGTGCTGAGAAGAATGTATATTCTGATGATTTGGGGTGGAGAGTTCTGTAGATGTCTATTAGGTCCACTTGGTCCAGATCTGAGTTCAAGTCCTGAATATTCTTGTTACTTTTCTGTCTTGTTGATCTGTCTAATATTGACAGTAGGGTGTTAAAGTCTCCCACTATTATTTTGTGTGAGTCTAAGTCTTTTTGCAGGTCTCTAATAACTTGATTATGAATCTGAGTGCTCCTGTATTGGATGCATATATATTTAGGTTAGTTAGCTCTTCTTGTTATATTGATCACTTTACCATTATGTAATGCCCTTCTTTGTCTTTTTTGATTTTATTGGTTTAAAGTCTGTTTTATCAGAGACTAGGATTGTACCCCCTGTTTTTTTGCTTTCCATTTGCTTGGGAAATATTCCTGCATCCCTTCATTTTGAGCCTATGTGTGTCTTTGCACATGAGATGGATCTTCTGAATACAGCGAATCAGTGGTTCTTGACTCTTTATCCAATTTGCCAGTCTGTGTCTTTTATTTGGGGGCATTAATCTTGTTTATATTTAAGGTTAATATTGCTATGTGTAAATTTGATCCTGCTATTATTATGCTAGCTGGTTATTTTGCCCATTAGTTGCTGCAGTTTCTTCATTGTGTCGATGGTCTTTACAATTTTGTATGTTTTTGCAGTGGCTGCTATTGGTTTATTCTTTCCATATTTATTGCTTCCTTCAGGAGCTCTTGTAAGGCAGGTCTGGTGGTGAAAAAACCTTTCAGCATTTGCTTGTCTGTAAAGGATTTTATTTCTCCTTCACTTACGAAGCTTAGTTTACTGGATATGCAGTTGTGGGCTGAAAATTCTTTTCTTTAAAGATGTTGAATATTGGCCCCCACTCTCTTCTGGCTTGTAGGGTTACTGCAGAGAGATCTGCTGTTAGTCTGAAGGGCTTACCTTTGTGGGTAATCTGTGTATGCTTCACAAAGTTCTTGTGCTATGTTTTTCAGCTTCATCAGGTCATTTATGTTCTTCTCTAAACTGGTTATTATAGTTAGCAATTCCTTTAACTTTTTTCAAAGTTCTTAACTTCCTTGCACTGGGTTAGAACATACTCCTTTAGCTTGGAGGAGTTTGTTATTACCACCTTCTAAAGCCTACTTCTGTCAATTTATCAAACTCGTTCTCTGTTCAGTTTTGTCCCTTGTTGGCGAGGAGTTGTGATCCGTTGGAGAAGAAAAGGTGTCCTGGTTTTTGAAATTTTCAGCCTTTTTGCACTGGTTTTTCCTCACAGAATTATTTACCTTTGGTCTTTGATGTTGGCGTCTTTCCGATAGGGTTTCTGTGCGTACGTCCTTTTTGTTGATGTTGATGATATTGCTTTCTGTTTGTTTTCCTTCTTACAGTTGGGCCCCTCTGCTGCAGGTCTGCTGGATTTTGCTGGAGGTCCACTCCACACCCTGTTTGCCTGGGTATCACCAGCAGAGGCCGCAGAACAGCAAAGATTGCTGCCTGTTCCTTCCTCTAGAAGCTTTGTCCCAGAGGGGCACCCACCAGATGCCAACCAGATCTCTCCTGTATGAGATGTCTGTCGACCCCTGCTCAGAGGTGTCTCCCAGTCAGGAGGCACGGGAGTCAGGCACCCACTTGAGGAGGCAGTCTCTCCCTTTGCAGAGCTCAATCACTGTGCTAGGCGATCCACTGCTCTCTTCAGAGCCAGCCAGCAGGAACGTTTAAATATGCTGAAGCTGTGCCCACAGCTGTCCCTTCCCCCAGGTATTCTGTCTCAGGGAGATGAGAGTTTTATCGATAAGCCCCTGACTGGAGCTGCCTTTCTTTCAGAGATGCCCTGCCCAGAGAGAGGGGAATCTAGAAAGGCAGTCTGGCTACAGCAGCTTTAGGGAGCTGCAATGGGCTCCGCCCCTTTCGACCTTTCTGCTGGCTTTGTTTCCACTGTGAAGAGGAAACTGCCTACTCAAGCTTCAGCAATGGTAGATGCACCTTCCCCCACCAAGCTCGAGTGTCCCTGGTCGACTTCAGACTGCTGTGCTAGCAACAAGCATTTCAAGCCAGTCCATCTTAGCTTGCTGGGCTTCGTGGGGGTGGGATCCACTGATCTAGACCACTTGGCTTCCTGGCTTCAGCCCCCTTTTTAGGGGAGTGAATGGTTCTGTCTCAACTGGCATTCCAGGCGCCACTGGGGTATGAACAAAAAAACTCCTGTAGCTAGCTCAGGAGTTTCTTGAACTTTTCAGATGACTCTTTTTGTTGTTGTTGATGCCTCTTTGTTCTTTCAACTACTTAATTTATGAGAATTCCCTAGGATTTTATGTGATCATCTTCTTGGTTTACAGTTCCTTGCCAATGAAGTCATCCTCGTTTGTTACTTTATTTGTTGCCTTTGTATGTGAGTTATGCCCAGATTTATATCTCAGAGTCTTCACCTCTTTTGCCAGCTTTAGTCCTATAAATCTAACAGACATTTTAAAAATAGCCAATTAATCATCTTCTGGTTAATATTTCTTTCCTGATTTCTTTGCTTTTGGCAGTGATACACCAGGTAAAAATCTTAGAGTCTCTGCTCCTTCCTCCTTGTTCGCTAGTAACAAGTAATCCAGTCCCTTTGATGACATTTAATGATTCTGTGTTAAAATTACTGGTTGTTGTTCTTGTACTATACCTTTAGTGCCTTAAATCATTTAAATTCGTTTTCTGGCTCTAGTGTCTCTGTTCAGTTAATTTTGTCCACTGCTTTCAGGTTAATGTGGTTAAATACGGAAAAGGTTAAAGGTGACAGATTTTTGTAACTAGTTGCCTGGAAGAAGAATAATGTCATAAACAGGAATAAGAAAGACAAGAACAGAAGCTTTTAGAGGATAGGTGTTGTGATTAAAAGAGTTTAAAGATTATCTGGACTCAGATCTGGCCAAGGGCCAAATGCCAAACTCAGTGAGCTCAGTCTAGTGTCGAATGGTAGGCTGGTGCTAGAGCATCCTAGTGAAATTGTAAGGTATGCCACTGGAAATGAACTGAAACTTGGGACAAAAGTCATGACCAGGGAAGTAGTAGCATAATACCTTCTGAACATTTTTATGAGAAGTCCATAAAGTCTCTTAAAAGGATACAGCTTAACTTACTTGATTATTTTGATATGAAAATGCAGATAATATATTTATTACAAATACCATTGAATTACTTAGTAAGCTTGGACTTTATGGGAAGAACTGGAATTTTTGTTAGAAGCTAACCACTGTTATTATATATTTCCTGAATGGAATGATGTCCTGTGAGAAATACTATTCTTAGTATATAGTATACCTTAACTATACTTGTACATAGCAATAAGCCAAACAGTAAGATGGATCTATCATATGCTATTGCAGAAACTTTAACATAGTTACAAATAAATAAATAAATAATAAATAATCTTTTTTTCTGACTCTTGTCAGGAAAGATTTGAGATGTTTTAATATTACAGTGACACTGGTATCTGGAGCTGATATTTCATCTCTGGAACAGAATTATTGATATAGGTCATTTTGTGGTTGTGGAATATTTACTTAAAATCATTTCAGGCATTTTGAAAGTTGGTTGTAAGATTAGCAGGACTTCAGGAGTGTAATTTGTCTTTCTGTTTCATTTTTAGAGTGTTCAACCAGATTCTTCTTCTCCCAGACATGTAAGTCACTTTAATATGACTGTGCATTGTGGTTCCTTAATATTTTTCAAAGCATTTGTGGTTTGTTTTGTTTTGTTTGGAATGCATCAGACTGAACTAAAATTTATGTTTTATTTTCCTCATTTATGTTTTGACACACCACTAGAAATACAGGTGTTTTGTTTGCTTGAAATAAAATGACCCTGTACTTGTGGACCGTAAATCTTGGTTGAAATTGAGCATAATAATTCATTTTTTGACAGCCTGTTTTAGAGAGTAGACATGGTTCTTATAAACTCGTGATTATTTGTGTTTAATAAGTTTTGAATAATAGCTTATGAATAGGTATTGAAAATATAATTTTGAAGTAGGAAAACCTTTATATTATTTCACTTGAGTAACCATTAGGAGCAAGAATAAAGAAATAATATATTAGTTTGGTATTAAGGCCATTGACTAAAAAGTGTTACTCACTTTGTGACTTTAGACAAAAATATTATCTGCCTAGCAGTATTTATTGTGAAATGTGATTCATTTTAGATCTAAATTGAGTATTTAATAGAACAAAGGATATTCTGCTTAAAGTAGTTCAAAAATAGACTTCAAGAATAGTTTATGACTTTTTTACTTGAATATAATTTTTTTAATCCATTTGCTGGAAAAATGAATAATGAGAATGGATGAGCAAAATAAAACAAGGAGGCAAGTGTGGGTTTTATTTTTTGACTGATTATGTTTACTATTTTGTAAGAATATTTTTGAAGTGTAATGATATATGGAAACATTGCTTTTTAACTTTTTATTTTGATGTTATTTCAAACTTAAAGTTGCAAGGGTAGTACAAAGAATTTCAGATGCAATTCATCCAGATCCCCCTGTTAACATTTACCATATTTGCTTAATCCCTTTCTAGCATGTGATTTTTTTTTTCTCGTTTCTCTCTTCTAGCTGACATGATGCCCCTTTACTTCTAAATGTCTCCATGTATGTTTCTTAGAAACAAAGTATATTAATTCAATATAATTATCAAAATTAGAACATTAACACTGATAAAATGCTGTCTTCTAATTTACAGATCTTATTCAGGTTTTGCCCATTGTCTTCATTGGCAGTAGAAAGTCCCTGATTATGTTTGGTCTTTTAAATCTCCTTTAATCTGAAGCAATTCTTCAGCAGCTGTCTTTCATGATATTGAAATTTTTGATGGACACAGGCCAGTTGTTTTATAGACCATCCCTCAATTTGAGTTTGTCTGATTTTCTTTCTTTAAAAAAAATGTAAAACTTTTTAAATATTTTCACCCTGTCTTATGGTGCTGATGATGTTTCTTTCTGCTTTGATAAGGCCATGCTTTTTTAAAGTAGGAATAGTACAAAAGTGCATCATATTAGGAAGCATATATTGTTTTATCCTGTTACTAGTGATGCTAATTTTGATCTTCTGGTTAAGGGTATTGTCTGCAGGGTGTCTGAAATCTCTACAGTATTAACATTTCGGCTAGCTAATTCTTCGTTTGAGGGTGGGGGATGCTGTCCATTGCATTGTAGAATATTTAGCATTCTCTCTAGTGCTACCCACTAGATGCTGGTGGTACCACTTCCCCAACTGTGACAACAGAAATGTGTACAGATATTCCCGTATGTGCACTGGGAAGCAAAACTGCCTCCCAATTCCTTAAGAACCACTACTTTATGGAATGTTACTGTTTTTCTCTTGCAGATAATAAATGCTTCAAATAAATAAATAAAATAAATACCTCATAGGGAGATGCCTCGAAACTGTGTATGTGTCCTCCTACTCCATAAATTTCTGTCTAGTAGTTTTAGTGTCTACTGATGTTTCTTGCCTGCTTCAGTTATCATTTGATGGTTGCCAATTGGTGATTTTTCTCATCCAATCATTCCTTCTACGTTTATTAGTTGACCTTTTATTAATACTATAAGGAAGAGCTTTCCCTTCTATTTTATATATGTAGGTATGTATTGGTGTGGATACATGGATTATTTTATTCAATATACTGTAATGTTACTAGTAGTATTTATTTTGATGCTCAGATTGTCCCTGATTTAGCCATTGGGAGTCCATCACACTGCTTTCTGTGTCCTTTCGACATATCTCTATCATTCTTTAAGTACATTCTACCTTTTTGTCACAACAATATGTTCCAGGGTCATCTTATACTTTCCCTGTCGTAGCCAGAAACCAGTCTTTTCTCTGTGGAGCCCCCCCGCCCCCCGCCATCTTTTTTCGTAGGTAATGGTATTTATAAAGTTAGATCTGATTGCTAGTAATCTTTATTGCTAGAATCTCATTGCATCCAGATCCTCTCAGTGGATAAAGCTAGGAAGTGTATGTATGTACATATATACACAAGTATATACATAGGTATTACCTATTCCTTTATCTATTTATATGTATATTAAAAATAATGAGACTTTGGGAGCCCAACGTGGGCCGATCACTTAAGTCCAGGAGTTTGAGACCAGCCTGGGCAACATGGTGAAACCCCATCTCTAAAAAAAGTAAACAGGCATGGTGATATATGCCTGTAGTCCCAGCCACTTGGAAGGCTAAAGTGGCAAGATCACTTGAGCCTGGGAGGCTGAGGCTGCCATGAGCTGTCATGACACCGCCGCATTCCAGTCTGGGCAGCAGAGTGAGACTCTGTCTCCAAAAAAAAAAAATTCACACTGATACTTCTGTTTCAGTCCAGTATCTCAGAGTTCATTCTGTTATTCTTCCTTCTTTCTACATTTGTGAATCCCTTCCGTGACTGTCAGACATCTGCCTTCCGTAAGGAAAAATTTTGAACTCTTAGAATAAAGCCATCAATGATCTCAGTAGTTGTTTGTGACGTTTAAAATTAACTATAAACTGACTTTTAAAAAATTTCATTTTCAGGGTCATAATCGTATCATTGCCTACAGTAGACCAGTTTATTTCTGCTTATGTTGTGGTCTTATTTGGCTCTTGGATTATGGTAGCAGAAACCTGACTGCAACCAAGTTCAAATTATATGGAATAACTTTCACCAATCCACTGGTGTTTATATCAGCCAGGGATTTAGTTATAGGTGAGTCATCTTTAAAGTATCTCTAATCTTAAAATTAATATATTTGTATATCAACATTTTACTGATAAATATATCAATTAAACAGCTTAAAATGTTTTTAATAAGCTTATTTTACTGTTTATTATAATCCTCACTGAGGAACAAAAGTGATAGGACTATTATGAGTGAACAAAGCTAATGATGAACAAGTATTATAGTAATTATTTTGTTTTTGGAGTAGCTGTAATGGAAATTTTTTTTTATTTGTTATTTCAGTTTCTATTATATGGAAATGATTGAAATAACTTTAAAAAGTATTGTTAATGATTGAAAAGATGTTATTTACTACCCAAGCAATTATGTATGATGTATCATTTCAAATGCTATCTTTTAAAAATTTCTTAGTGGTTTATGTTAATTTGGGGTTTTTAAAAATTAATTATGACTTCAGTGGACACAAGAATGGATACAGTATAATATTTTTAAATTACTTTTCTTTCTTTTTATAGTGTTTACACTCTGTTTCCCAATAGTGTTTTTCATTGGTCTCCTGCCTCAGGTGAATACATTTGTAATGTACCTTTGTGAACAATTGGATATTCATATCTTTGGTGGTAATGGTAAGTACTTCTTTATAAACATTATAGTATTACATTTATAGATCATAAAGTAATAAACTGACCATTGAATTGCTTTTCTGGTTTTTGCTTCAGGCTTGAATTTAGGGGAAAAAAAAGACATTAAATCATTTAAGACTGAGAAGCAATTTATGTGGATAGGAAAAAATAGTCAAGTCTGCTACTATAGAGAAAGAGCCAGGTATAATGAAGCAGATGTGTAAGAAGTGATAAAATAATGTCTGCAACTTAAAGTTATAGTGAGTTTACATGGAACCTGTATGTACTTAAGAGGTATTTATAAAAGATCATCTATCCTGAAGAGATTGAAGTTTGATACATAGCATTATATTTGGATTTTAAACTAGTATGTGCCTTTAGTAGGTCTTTGTATTTGGTTTCAGAGTTTTGTTTTATCCTTAGAATGCTAACACCAAAACCAGAATCTAAAAGCATTTTACTAATAAATAAGCTTTTAAAAACTATCTGTTTACTGAGTAGACTATGTGGCTATGAACTGATATACTTAGAAAATCTATTTCCATATATCATATGTATATTTTATTTAAAAAATAAGACTATAGCCATATTACTCTGGAATAGATAATGGTTTGTAGAACCTGAAAATAATTATTTGGCACACACCATGGTTAAAATATACCATTATTTAGTTTAACCATTGAAAATTTTACTAAAAGATGAGTGTGCAACTAGAGAAAATGAAAGGGAAAGAAATTATTATAACTTTATAGTTCCTTCTCTACACACTTCACATTTTCAGGTCTCATTTATTTTCCAAGCATATGCATTGAAATCCTCTCTGGTGATAAAATGTCGATATCATGGCTTTAATTTTAAGTACAAACTGAGCTTTTTCTATGTTGTGTATTATACTAGAGAATTTTTAATGTTTTGAAAATTTTTTGAAGGGATTGAATTAAGACAACTGGTTTCATCAATCAGCGTAGCTTAATAGGTAGAAGACAATGCTAATATTTAGGGACTATTGTTGGTATTATATTACCCTAAATACTATGAGGAGGGCTTAATGTAAGTAATTTGTGATAATGGGCTTTTGACATACTATGATTTACAATCTTGTGCAAGGTAATAGGTTTCTAATATCTCATAAGGAATTTTTTTATAAATTTATTTTATGATTATTATAAATTACTATTGAAGGAAATCTGTTACCCATGTTTTAAAACTAAAGTCTAAATATCTTAGCCATTCCCTATTCCTTATTACTAATATTCCCATTAACTCTATTTTGTTGTTGCTATTGCTAGCAATTAGATCTACACCTTTTTCTGAAAATTAACACATGGGAATACAGATTTACTTCTGTGGGTAACACAGGTTCTGTTTTCATAGATAAATATCTTTCGGTGAACACGTAATACATCTCCAGTTCCTTTTCAGGCTCTGAAAGCTTCATTTTTCCATATTTTTTGTTAATATAAGATACATTCTTGAAGCATATTATAATTTTTTCTTGTTACATATAAATGTTCATTACTTCCAAGATGCATGTATTTTATCTGGTAGCAAAGATTTAGGATAGCAAATCTTTGTCATGTCAAAATATTTCTGAAAGAACAAAATGAAGTAACTGAATTTTTTGAATTCAAATTAGTAGATTTTTAATGATTGTTGACATTATAATATTTTAAATGCTTTTCAGTGACCTTTAAATTTTTTTCTATGTATTTTTATAACATATTTCTTTCCTTTTTCTTTTCCTGTCTAGCCACTACAAGCCTGCTTGCAGCACTTTACAGTTTTATCTGTAGCATTGTGGCAGTAGCCTTATTGTATGGATTATGTTATGGAGCTTTAAAGGTGAGCAATAAATGTAGTATGTTTTGTCTTTAAGGCTATATTTCTATATAAAGGTTGTTTTAAAATCAACTAATAATGATTTTTTCCCCAGTTGCCACTTAGCATTAATTTTCATGGTCTTCATATGTTAAACACTTTTCTCATTCTCAACTACTTTGAATTTGAAAGTAGTTTAATAGTTAACCATTACTAAAAGAAAATTCTTTTTCCTCCAGTAGTCATAGGTTAATATTAGGAACGGATTATGGAAAACTAGGCTCATCTGCTATAAGGGTAGGCATAATTACAGGATATGAAATTAATTTTAAAATTCTAGTTAAGAATTTAACTGCTTTTCATATCAAATTTTTTTTAAACTTATAAAAACAAGCTCAAGGACTACAATTCAAGATACATGCTAATAAAAAGTAATACATTGAAATTTAATGTCATTATTGGATTAAAAGATCTGGATGAGCCTTATGAACTTCTCTTTAAAAGATTGTCAACAAGTTGTAATCATAAACATTAAAAAATTTTTATAGTGATTCAATAGAGGTAGTAGTTAACTATCTTAGTTAAGGCTCACAGTTCAGGCTGTTTTAACAAAGTACCCGTAGATGAGTTGGCTTATAAGCAATAGAAATTTATTTCTCACAGTACTGGGGCCTGGAAGTCTGAGATTGGGGTGCTGGATGGTCAGTTTCTGGTGAGGTCTCTCTTCCCAGTTGCAGACAGCTAACTTCTTATATCCTCAGTGGCAGAAACAGGACTTGCCCTCTGGGGTTCCTTTTATATGGACTCTGATCCTAGTCATGAGGACTCTACTCTCAGGACCTTCTGACCTCCCAAAGGTGCCACCTCCTAATACCATCACACTGGGGGTGGGGATTTCAACATACGAATTAGTGGGGACACAGACAACAGGTAGTGTTTATGAATTGCTTTCAGTACATTATATTTCTAGATTTTTAAATGAACAGGTCATTTTGAGATAAGAATGCTCTTCTTTTGTCTGAGAGTGGTAAGTAGTGTCAAGTATTTGTCAAATAAAGACAGGCATCTTTTGTTTAGTTTTTTTCTTAAATACTCATTTTGTTTTATTTTAGTTGAGGCAAAATTTACATACAGTGAAATCCATCTCTCTGAAGTACACAATCTGATAAGTTTTGACAAATGCATATACCTATGTAATTTATACCCTTAACAAGATCTAAGAGAGTTCCATTACCTCAGAAAGTTTCCTCACATTTCTTCCTGTCTCTCTTAATACTGACTGTTGTTACTTCTTGCACTATACACTAGGTTTGCAGTTCTTGAACTTCATATAAATGAAATCGTACCAGATGTATTCTTTTGTATCTGACTTAATTGCTTAGTGTAATACTGTTGAGATTCATCCACATTGTGTGTATCAGGAGTTTGTTTCTTTTTATTGTAGATAAGTATTCCATTTAGTTTTAATTCCTTCTTACCCACATTGTATGCCTATATCACAGTTTACCTACCATCTTAGAGATGCTCATTTGAGTTGTTTCTAGTTGAGGAATATTATGAATAAGCCTGTTGTGAACATCATTGTACAAGTCCTTTTGTGGACATGTGTATTCATTTCTCTTGGATAAATACCTAGAAATGGAATTAACAGTTTTCCAAAGTGGTCATACTAGACATATATGTATATATATATATTAGTCTTAATTTTTATTAAGGTTTTACATTCTATATCATAGTGTCAAATAGTTCTACAGGACTTAGATCAAGAACAGGAATCTCCTAACCCCTTTTACCTTCCTCGGACTTACTATTTTTAACTGATTCTTTTTGGCATTACCTCCATATATCTGCTTTTTATTTCTATTTCTTATATTTTCTGACATCTTCAGCAGAACCCATGGACTGCCCTTTATGAAAGTTGGAGGCTTGACTTTCTCTCTCTCTCTTTCTCTCTCTCTCTCTCTCTCTCTCTCTCTCTCTCTCTTTAGAGATTGTTTAGAATGCATGTGGTTCATTTCTTCCTGAACATATTCTAGTTGATATCCCTAGATTAGGTTAAGCCATTGAGAGCTGCATTTGGACCAGGCTGTCTGGTCACCTCTAGGGTTTCCTTGCCCAGATTTCTCTTCAGCATTATGCCTGCTCTTTGCATGGAGGCACCTTCCAAGAGTGTGTGTAAGACAACAGTGGTCCCTTCATCACAGAGCTGTCACGTTGATGTCCTTCAGTGCTTTGTTTAGTGTCCCTCCTGTAAAGACTTAATCAAGGTGTTTCTTTTCAATCTTGATGACAGCCAGCCACTTCTTGTTTCCCTAAGAAATCTAGAATGCATTTTTGTATTTTGTTTTGTTTTTGTTTTTTTTTCCCCCATATAGCCAGTATTAATTTTAAAATTTGCCTTGGCCATTAAGCAGCTCAAAGCCAGATTCCCTGCTTATGTCTAGGAAGTTATGGCTTTTGTCTCTCATATTCCTTTGCTCATCATTATAAATGAGGTCCTGAGCAGGGTCGTGGTTACAAGGATATTTTTTGCCTTATACTAATTCAGATTTCATAAATGAGGTCCTGAGCAGGGTCATGGTTATAAGGATATTTTGCCTTATACTAATTCAGATTCATTAAGTTATCCATTTGTTTCTTTTTTTACATTTTTGTTATATTTAACAACATGTAGTAACAGTTCAGAAAAAGATTGTTAATTTAAACTTTCTGCAAACATCACTGAAAACTTGATTAAGTATGCAAGACTTTTTTCTTAGCCCGAAGCCCTTCCATCAAAACTCTTAAGCACATCCAAAATCACTGCACCCAAGAGCCCTGGGTGTCTGTTGAGCAGCTGCACTGCACATATACATATCTGTCAATTAAAATGTGCAAATGGAAAAGAGGCATTTCCTGACCAGTCAAGGGAAGCTTCCTGGAGGTGCCTGTCTCTGACTCTTCTACATTCTTATACCTCATATCCAACATCCTTCACATGGGGCAGCCCACGCCAAGTGCTGGGACAGGAGTTAGGTGCAAGGCTGAGTGGACGAATCATCCCTTAAAGCCCAGTGAGGTGCCCAGTGCACCACCAGCATAATGCACCTGAAAACAAGGTCCAGGAGCCCTGGCACAGGACCCTCCATCCTGCCCTCCTATTCTCCTGTCAGACCAAGCAAAGAGGACAGCAGCACGGGGGCCCCACAGGAGAGCACACAAGAATGCTCTAACCTGTACACCGTCCTGGGACAGAAGGGGACTATGGGAATCCTGCAGTGTAGACTTAGGCAGCTCAGCCCTGCAGCTCAACAGATCCGTGGGTGGGACGTCTCTCGCAGTAAAATCTGCTCACGTCTGTACATGGGTCCCAGAGCTAAGTGGCCTTTGGCCTTGAACTCTGATGTTTTCTCTCTCACATGAGTGACATTTTTGGCAAAATTTTCAGCCTCTTCCAACCAGTGCAGGAAGCTCCTGCATAACTTGGCAGCGAGGAGAGGGATGGTGGCATTGTATGGCTTTCGGTAGATACACTGTTTCAGCACCTTCACAGCACGAGCAGATTTTCCAGCAGCCATCAGAGACAGAGCAAACAGGCACCAGAGGAGGAACTCCTCAATGGCAAACTTCATAACTCTTTCTAGGCACCGTGGTTCATTGTCTCGCGCCAAGAAATAATTCAAGACACAGACACACAAGGAGTGGGTTTAGGAGGGGAAAGGCAGAGAAGAAAAGAAAGAAGAAAGAGGAGGAGGGGGGGAGGGGGAGGAGGAGAGGGAGGGAGGGGGAGAGAGAGAGAGAGAGAGAGAGAGAGAGAGAGAGAGAGAGAGAGAGAGAGAGAAAGCTTCCTCATGTTGAGAAAGCAGATCGCTCAAGACGGTCTCCCAGTGGCTTGACTTTTTTCTGTCACCCCAGCCTGACTACTCATATAGCCTCTCTTATATACCTGATGTGTTTACCTTATTATCACTGGGTAAATGCTCTTCCTCCATATCTTTTGTTTTCTCCTATACTTTGCTTTCTTATATATTTATCTCCCTTTTATTCTCAAGCTCTTAAGATATTGTTTAACTTTCTTTTCAGTACATCCAAACATATCAAGGGTTAACTTTCTGGCTCTACCACTTAACTGGACAAATTACTTAAACCCTCTTCTGTGCCTTAGTTTTCTTATCTATAAATTGAGGGGGGGTAATAATACATATTTTCAAGGTTATTGTAAAAATTATTTGGGAAATACAAAGATCCAAGGATGTGGCACTACACAATGTTCAATATAAGATTTTGATGTAGCCATTAAAAAAATAAAATATCTGTGTTATGATGTGAAAGAATTTTCAAGTCTGCTTTTAAGTGGGAAAAAAGGCAAGTTGTATTAAAAACCGCCATTTGGGTCCCCACTCCTACCATATTTCCTTTCCGAATCTCCAGAGAACAATGAAGGATTAGAATAGTGTCCACCTCACAGGACATACTTAAGAACTGTTACCTGTTCCAGTTAGCATATTGCCCACTCTCTGCCAGGTATCATGCTGATAGACTCCACAGATGCTACAGTGAGCAGAGCTCACATTGGAGTGTGGTGGCCTTGGAAGTTAGCCTTTGTAGTATTTCCTTCTAGGGTTGCACAGTCATTCATTCAGAAAACAGTTACTGAATGCCTGCTCAGTGCTGTAGAGGACACGTATATTATATGGGCAAAGGCATCAAGAAAGCAGCACACCAAATGTCAGCCTTTTCTTTTGCCTAATGTATCATGTATTGTCTTTTTCTGCTTTATTATTGTATATAAAATTTACTGTATCAAGATGTATTATTCTTCAAAAAAGAACACAGTTTACTACAAACTTAATAGCACTTAAAATGTGAAAGAATTGATAGCCACATGCATCAAAAGCAAATTATTCCTACTGTATGAATAGAGCTGTCATGCCCCCTTGCCCAAAAAATCTGTAGCTTTAGTACCAAAGACATCTAGTGTCTAGATTCTAACTCATCAGAAAATAATAAATCTAAATTTTTCTGGAACAAAATGCAATTAACATGGCTAAAAATTTTGTTGAATTTAAGTTAATTGTCTTTTCCAAAATACTGACATAAAAGGATTATGTGCTATATTGTAAATTAGAAGCATATAATTCTGTTAAATTTATATTTCCACAGGATTCTTGGGATGGCCAGCATATTCCAGTACTATTTTCCATTTTTTGTGGTTTGTTAGTAGCAGTGTCTTATCATCTCAGCCGACAAAGCAGTGATCCATCTGTACTTTTGTAAGTGAACTCAGTTGTTACTGAATTAAAGAAATTGAAGTCAGTTGGTGGTTTTTTCAAATAACTTTCAAAATTTCTTTTTCCCAATGCCTTTCCAAAGTGCTATTGGCCTAATCTATATTAAGCTTCAAAATATGTTAACTTTGGGTCATTCTAATCAGATTGGCTGAGAATACTAGTGTTTTCCTTCCCAATTGTTGAAACTATGTTTTAATAAAAATATTTTCACTGTATTCTTATTTATGGTATCCTAAACATTTTAGAATTTCTCATTTGGTAATGATTAAAATATACTCAAATCAGTTGGTTTTCTATCATAAACTTTATTGCCCGTTTGAATTATTGGTTTTCAGATGATATATGTATTTTCTTCTTTTTTGTTTTTCTCTTTTTTAACACAAAGCTCTTTAGTGCAATCCAGGATTTTTCCAAAAATGGAAGAGAAAAATCCAGAAGACCCTCTAGCTGAAGTAAAAGATCCACTTCCGGAAAAACTTAGAAATTCTGTTGTAAGTTTTAACATTTAGAATCACCTAAAAGACTTAAATCTTAAACAGTTGATTATGTTATATGATGACACTTTTTGAAAGTCTTTAGCAATTGGAGAAAAATGTATAGTTATAGTTTATAGGATTAGTTGTACATTGTTGATTGTCTTTATTCCAAATATTAACATGTAAGAAATGCTCATTCCTCAGACTTGGTTTGTGTGTAAAACAGAACACTGAACATTTATTTTTAGGTCAGGTGAAATTAAGTAATATCATTGGTCATAGAACCTTTATTCCTATTCAATTTAGACTAGGATCTGAAACATTAGTATTAACATAAATTAGATTCATTTTGTTATCATTCATCTTGTTGAAAAAAACTATGTCTTGGTAAGTCATTCGTTAGTCTTTAGGTTCTTTTATTTCTCAAGGGCAGTCTGAAAACTGTGTATATTCCAGGCTGAAGGAGAGAACAATAACCTTTATTAATTTAATTTATTAAATTAAGTAAATGCAGTAATTTTTTAAATTTCTAATTTAGTGAATTATAATGTTGCTTATATTCTTTCAGTAATTATTTGAGAAATGAATTCTGTAAATTCATGTCTGTTTATGGAGTAAAACAAAATCTTTTTCTCAGATTTAGGTAATTTTCCTTTGCAAAAGACTGAATTTATATAGATGTTGAATTAGACACATTTACTTTCAGTGAGCTTGACCTGTTCACATATTCTTTCAGAAACTTTAGAAATATAAAACTCTCAAGATATTAGAATAGCTTTTTTCTAACTTTAGTTTCCATATTGGCAGAGGATATTTCATGTTAAGTATAGTAGGATATTCTGAATATGCTTTTAAGCATAAGTCTAAGAGGTGAGTTGATGACCAAAGATATCAAGAGGTTTCTGGTTTTTCTATAACCACTGATAGAACCAAAATGTAGTAAGTAAAATGGGACTTAAGCACATGGTTTTCACATGTCAAAAGACCAATGAACATATAAGTTATCCAAAGGGCTATACCCCTATAAATGGCACTGTGGTTAGGAGTGGCGGCACGTGCCTGTAGTCCCAGGTACTTGGGCGACTAAAGCTGAAGGATCCCTTGAGCCCAGGGGTTCTGAGCTCTAGTGTGAAATGACTGTACCTGTGAAAAGACACTGTACTCCAGCCTGGGCAACATAGTGAGACCCTGTCTCAAAAACAAACAAACAAAAATTATAGTAACTTAAGGTACTCTATTTTGTTTCCCCATATGTAAAAGTAAAACTTACAGGCCAGGCGCGGTGACTCACGCCTGTAATCCAGCACTTTGGGAGGCCGAGGCAGGTGGATCATGAGGTCAGGAGATCAAGACCATCCTGGCCAACATGATGAAACCCCATCTCTACTAAAAATACCAAAAAAATTAACTGGGTGTGATGGTGCGTGCCTATACTCCCAGCTGCTCAGGAGGCTGAGGCAGGGGAATCGCTTGAACCTGGGAGACGGAGATTGCAGTGAGCCGAGATTGTGCCACTGCACTACAGCCTAGGTGCCAGAGCAAGACTCTGTCTCAAAAAAAAAAAAAAAAAGTACAGACCAGTGGGGAAATAAAATCATCATTCTAAAAGACCATATTGTAGTATGTTATAGGCATGCAGAACTAGGTAAGTTATTCAATTTTCGTGGCATTACAGTGTCAAAATCAAAATATGAGGAAATTGAGGAAGAAAATAAGGTTTATTGTGGTTAATTATTATGTGTAGAAAATATATAGAAGTGTGGCCAGGTGTGGTGGCTCAAACGCCTGTAATCCCAGCACTCTGGGAGGCCAAGGTGGGCATATCACTTGAGGTCAGGAGTTCAAGATCTGCCTGGCCAACATGGTGAAACCTTGTCTCTGCTAAAAATACAAAAAATTATCTGGGTGTTGTGGCGTGTGGTGGCACATGCCTTCAGTCCCAGCTTCTTGAGGGGCTGAAACGGGAGAATCGCTTGAACCCAGGAGGTGGAGGGTGCAGTGAGCCGAGAACGTGCTGCTGCACTCCAGCCTGGGCAACAGAGTGAAACTCCAGAGAGAGAGAAAAAGAGAGGTGCGGGGGTGGGGGGCGGAAATGGGATCTAGAAGTGTTAGAGTATCAATGAAAAATTCTTTTTTTTTTTCCTTAATACCAACCAAGCTAGCCAGGCAAAAAGTTGTATCTTAAACTTTGCCAATTGGGAATAAAGGAAAAAGATTTTTTTAATTTTTATGTAATTGTTTAATAATCCTTTTTTACCCCTACAGAGTGAACGATTGCAGTCTGACCTAGTAGTGTGCATTGTTATTGGTGTGCTGTATTTTGCTATTCATGTAAGCACAGTCTTCACAGTATTGCAGGTAAGGAATCATTTTCTTTCTTTCTTTCTTTCTTTGTTTGTTTGAGGTAGGGTCTCACTGTGTCACCCAGTCTGGAGTGCAGTGTGTTATGATCACAATTGATGGTAATCTTGAACCCCTGGGCTCAAGCAATCCTCCCACTCAGCCTCCCAAGTAACTAGGACTACAGATGTGCGCCACCATACCAGGCTAATTTAAAGAATTTTGTTTGTTTGTTTATTTTTAGTAGAAACTGAGTCTTGTGTTGCCCAGGCTGGTCTCAAACACCTGGGCTCAAGCAATTCTCCTGCCCCAGTCTCCCAAAGTGCTGGAATTATAGACATGAGCTACTGCACCCAGCCTGTATATGTTTAGATACACAAACACTTGCCATTCTGTTACAGTTGCCTACGGTATTCACTACAGTAACATGCTATACATATTTGTAGTTTAGGAGCAGTAGACTCTACCACATAGTGTCAGTGTGTAGTAGGCTATACTGTCTTATCTATGTGAGTACACTCTGATGTTTGTACAGTGATGACATTGCCTAACAACACATTTCTCATAATGCATCCTGTTGTTGAGCAGCACCTGACTATAATTTTGTTTGGGCTGATTTCTGATTTGATGTTAATGTTTGTCCATAGTACTGAAATACATGACTTTTTATTTGTTTTTTATCAACAAATACTTACTTTCTCATGATTTCTCTGGGTTATGAATCTGGGTGGCTTTGCTGGATGATTCTAGCTCAAGATCTTTCATGATGCTGCAGTCATCTGAGTTCACTGTTTGCAGGCCTCAGTTCCTTCTGACTATTGGCCAGAGACCTCAGTTCCCCTCCATGTGGTCCTCACCATAGGCTGCCTAACTGTACTCACAAATGGCAGCTAGTTTCCCCCAGAACAAATGATCCTTGAGAGACAAAGCTAAGACAGGAGCTGTACTCTTTTATAACCTGATATTGGAAATAACATGCCACCAGTTCTTCCATATTCTGTTGTGTACATAGACCAACCCTGGTACATGTGAGAAGAGAATATATTAAAGTATAAAAGCAAGAGGCAAGGATCATGGGAACCATTTCAGAAGCTGGACTACCACAGTCCATTAGTAGACCTCCATGATCGACATCTCTTCTGTATGCAAAGTGTACATACCCTCTCCTAAAACCCCCAAATGTCTCATTCCAGTAAGTTGAAAGTCTAGAACGTTATTATCTAAATCAGGTTCAGGTAAGGGTAAGGCTTCTTAGGTGTTGTTCCTTAAGTACAGCTCATCAAGGACTATTCCTTTCATCTGTAGGGCATGTAATTATCATGTTTAGCCCTCTGCATTATTTTGTGCATATCCATGTTTTCATTTGGTGTTATTTTCCTCCTACTTGAAAGATTTCCTAGGACATTTCTTTTTTATTTAGGGGCAAAGTCTCACTGTGTTGCCCAGGCTGGTCTCAAACCCCTGAGCTCAAGTAATCCTCCCACCTTGGTCTCACAAAGTGCTAGGATGACAGGTGTGAACCACCACACCTGGCCATCCTAGGACATTTCTTGTGGTGAAAATCTGCATATTTTCTTGGCTTTTGTAGCTCTGAATAAGTCCTTATTTCACCATTGGTTTTGAAAGATACTTCCTTGGGTATAAAATTCTAAGATGACAGGTTTTTTTTTTTCTCCTTTAGTACATGAAGATGTTGCTCCACTGTCTTCTCCCTTTTATTGCTTCTGACTGAATTTATTCCTATGTAGATAACTTAGCTTTTTTCTTAAGCGATCTTTTTATCACTAGTTTCTACAAATTTGTGATGTACCTTCACATAGTTCATGTTTCTGTGCTTGGGGTTTATTGAATCTGTGGTTTATAGTTTTCATTAAATTTGGAAATTTTCAGGCATTATTCCTCTAGACATTCTTCATTTTTTTTCATAATGGGTGTATATCTTTATGGGGTACAGGAGATATTTTGATACAGGCATGCAATGTGTAATAATCACATGGTAAATGGAGTATTCATCTCCTCAAGCATTTGTCCTTTGTGTCGTGATCCAGTTACACTCTTAGTTATCTTTAAATGTACAATTAAATTATTATTGACTGTATTTACCCTGTTGTGGTATCAAATACTAGGCCTTATGCATTCTTTCTACTACTTTTTGTACCCATTAACCGTCGCTACCTCCCCTCACCACCCGTCCTACCCTTCCCAGTCTCTGATAATCATCGTTCTACTCTCTATTTCCGTGAGTTCAATTGTTTTAATTTTTAGCTCCCACAAATAAGTGAGAACATGTGAAGTTTCTCTTTCTGTACCAGGCTTATTTCTCTTAACACAGTGACCTACAGTTCCATCCATGGTATAGCAACTGGCAGAATCTCATTGTTTTTTATGGCTGAATAGTACTCCATTGTGTATGTGTACCACATTTTCTTTATTCATTCATCTGTTGATGGACACTTAGGTTGCCTCCAAGTCGTCTCCAAGTCTTGGCCAATATGAACAGTGCTGCAGCAAACATTGAATACAGATATCTCTTCAATAAATTGATTTCTTTTATTTTGAGTATGTATCTAGCATTGGGATTGCTGGAAAATATGGTAACTCTATTTTTAGTTTTCTCAGGAACTTCCAAACTGTTCTCCATAGTGGTTGTACTAACTTACATTCCCACCAACAGTGGAAGAATTCAGCAGTGAAGCCATCTGGTCCTGGGCTTCTCTTTACTGGGTGACTTTTTATTATGGCTTCAGTCTTGTTACATGTTATGATCTGTTCAGCTTTTGGATTTCTTCATTGTTCAATCTTGCTAGGTTGTATGTGTCTAGGAATTAATCCATTTCCTCTAGATTTTCCAATTTATTGGCATATAATTGCTCATAGTAGTCACTAATGATACTCTGAATTGTTGCAGTATTAGTTGTAATATATCCTTTTTCATCTCTCATTTTATTTATTTGGGTCTTCTCTCTTTCATTTTCTGGTTAAAGATATGTCAATTTTATTTATCTTTAAAAAAAAAAAACAACTTTTCAGTTCTTTGGTCTTTTGTATTGTTTCTTCATTTTAATTTCATTTATTTCTGCTCTTATCTTTCTTAGATCCTAGTTCCTTGAGGCACATGATGAGGTTGTTTGCACTCTTTCTGCTTTTTTGATGGAGGCATTTATTACTATAAATTTCCCTTTAGCACTGCTTTTGCTATGTTCAATAGGTTTTAGTACATTGTATTTTCATTTGTTTTGGAGATTTTTAAATTTTATTTTCAGTTTCTTCATTGACCCAGTGTTCATTAAGGAGCACATTGTTTAATATCCATTTAATTGTATAGTTTCCAAAGTTCCTCTTATTTATTTTTAGTTTTATTTCTTCATGGTCTAAGAAGATACTTCATATAACTTCAGTTTTTAAAAATTTGTTGAGACTTGTTCTGTGGCATAACATGTAGTCTGTCCTGGAGAATGTCCCATGTGTTGATGAGAAGAATGTATATTCTGCAGCTATTGGATGACATAAATGGTCTATAAATGTCTGCTAGGTTCATTTGTTCTATAGTGCAGACTAAGTATGATATTTCTTTGTTGATTTTCTGTCTAGGTGATCTGTCCAATATTGAAATTGGGTTGTTGATATTCCCAACTATTATTATATTGGGGTCTGTCTCATTAGCTTTAATAATATTTGCCTTATGTATCTGCATGCTCTGGTGTAGGGTGCATGTATTTACAGTTGTTTACCCTTTTCTGGACTGATCCCTTTATTATATGATGACCTTTGTAGTCTCTTTTCATGTCTTTTGATTTATAGTTTACTTTCTCTGATACAAGTATACCTCTGCAACCATGCTTTTGGTTTCTATTTGCCTGGAATATATTTTTAAATTTCTTCTCTTTCAGTCTATGTGTGTGTTTATAGGTGAAGTTAGTTTCCTCTAGGCAGCATATAGTTGGCACTTTAAAAAAAAAAAATTCAAGCAGACTCTATTTTTACTTATATTTACGTTGGCATCAGGATACACATCTGGACAGTCTACATCTTTTAACTGGGGTATTTAAGCCATTTACATTCAAGGTTTTTTGCTAGATGAAGGCATACTCCCATCATTTTGTTCATTGTTTGCTGAATGTTCTCTATATCCCTTGTTCCTTTCAATTTGATTTTTTTTTTGTAGTAATAACATTTGACTTTTAAAAAAAATCATTTATCTTCTTTACCAATGATTTTATCCTCTCATGTGTTTCATGTAGATATCATCCTTCCGCTACTTATTATAGGACTCAATAATTTCTTGTAGAACCAGTCTACTGATAATGAATTCTTAGTCTTTGCTTTTTTGGTAAAGATTTCTCCTTCATTTTTGAAGGATAAAGCTTTTCTGGGTATACTGTTTTTAGCTGAAGAGTTTTTTTCTTTCAGTACCTTGAATGTATCACCCCATTGCCTTCTGGCTTGTGAGGTTTCTACTGAGAAATTAGATGTTAGTCTGATGGCGATTTCCTTGTATATAACTTAACTCTTTTACTGTTTTCAGAGTTCTCTTTTTGTCTTTCACTTTTGACAGTTTGATTATAATATGCCTTTTAGAAGACCTTATTGAGTGAATTGTATTTGGGAACCCTGTGCTTCCCATATCTAGATGTCTGTATTTCCTCTAAGACTTGGGAAATTTTCATCTATTATTTTCTTAAATAGGCTTCTAGAAACTCCAAAATTCAAATGTGTTTGGTCATTTTTATGGTGTCACATATATCATATGAGGTTTTTAAATTCTTTTTTTCTTTCTTTTTCTTGGTCTGAGGGTTTTTCTTTTTTTTCAACCCATCTTAAAGTTCAGAAATTCTTTCTTCTGCTAGGTCTAATCTGTTGTTGAACCTCTTGCTTATACCTTTTATTTCACTTGTTGAATTCTTCAGTTCCAGAATTTCTGTTTGGTTCCTTTTTATGATACATCTCTTTGTTGAGTTTTTCATTTAGATCATGAGTTGATATTTTGATTTCTTGGTATTATTCATATGTATTCTCTTGTATCTCACTGAGTTTCCTTCATATCATTATTTCGAATTCTTTTTCAGACATTTCATAGATTTCCTTTTCTTTGGTATCCGTTACTCGAAAATTATGTTCCTTTGGCGATACTGTATTTTCTTGCTTTTTCATGTTTCTTATGTCCTTACATTGATATCTGCACATCTGATATAACATTTTTTTCCAATTGTATGGATTGGCATTTGGAAAGACTGTTTCCTGTAGCTGTATCTGTGGTGTTGGTTGGACAGGATGCTTTGGCTCTGATTCTGGGTGTATATGGTAGTGTACTCTCCGTATGATTTATTTGGCTGTAACTGGTGTCAGTGATGTCTATGAATTCCTCAGTGGCTTAGACTGCATTTGTTCATAGAGTCTGTGATGAGGCATTGCAAGGGATACAGAGCTAGGCAGGCTAGTCCTCAGGCACCAGTAGTGGCTGCAGTAAGTTGGGTTCACTAGTCCTTGGGCCATGGGTCGCCATGCATGGGTGCCTGTGGTGGTGGTTGTCGAGTCTTTAGTTGGCATACTTGACTGTTGGTTGTAGCAGGGAACAGAAGTTTTCAAATGCATACATCTTTCTAACAAATGGCTTTTCTTCAGTATGAACCAGGATATGGCACCTCAGATGGCGATCCCTGTTGAAGGCCTTGCCACAGCCTTCATAGTCATAAATAGTCTCCTTCCTGTGCACTTGCACAGGTATGCATCAAGCTTTTAGGCCTTGTTGTAATTGGTGATGCAGTCTAGGAAGGAACAGATGACCCTCCTGTGAAACATGAGGGGTAGCAGTGGAAAGACTGGGCTCTTGCTGGCTGTGATGAACAGGTCAGTGATGGTTATAGATGAGAACACCACAGTGAACAAGGCCAGTGGTTACAGGACACCTGGGCCTCCATGCTGTGGGACAGGCACACAGCCGTGCACTAAGCCACGTACTATGAATTAGTGCATGCAGCCAACTGCTCCAGGTGGACCCTGCCTTACCCCGTTATTTCTGCTACTGAAAACAATTTAATACATTGCTCTATACATCTCATAGAACATTCATGTAATAGGCAATACACCTGAGGCCACTCTCTCATTATATAGTAGTGTAAGACACCAGAGAAAGTAGTTAACACATTTCAAAATATCTATGATATATGAATAGTCACTAACTTTCAAGACTGATTAGAACAAATTACATAATGTAGAAATGTTAACTGTAGAAAATACTTTGTTCTTAGATTCTTAAAATGGATGCTGTCCATTATCAAATGGAAAATTGAACTGACAAATTAGAATTTCTACAGTGAGTCTCAAAATCACTCCTAATTTTATCACTTGTATTGTTTTTTTTTTTTTAGCCTGCTCTCAAGTATGTGTTGTATACATTGGTTGGCTTCGTGGGTTTTGTAACACATTATGTGCTGCCTCAAGTTAGAAAACAGCTACCATGGCACTGTTTCTCTCATCCTCTGCTAAAGACAGTAGAGTATAATCAATATGAAGTTCGAAGTAAGTATTTCATTAGCACTTTTCCCTTTACTATATTGATAGATGACTGAGTTAAATGAATATCATCAGGGAATATTTTGACTTGTGTTTCTTTTGCTTAAATTTGAAGCTGTTAATGAATCTGATATCTTGCAGGATGCTTTATTTTAGTTGAAATATGAGTGTCAGTGCTACAGTACCAATTTTCCACGGAAGAAACTTACTTCTCCCCTCTCTATATTATTATTCACAGAATTCTCTTTGATGAATCCTCCTGTGTATGTCCATTACTTCTCTTTCCTGACCCTACTGTTCCCCCTAATTAGTTTTCAATGCCATATACAGGCAATCCAATCCTCTTTAAGGTCTATTTGAAATAGTTTTAACTTAATGCCTAGGGAGGAAGAAAGGTCTTTGTTCCTTTTTCTGGCAGAGACACTGTGTCCTACCAGAGAGGAATGCAAAACAGTTGATAAAGTGAAAAGAAATTAAAAACATTTTTAATTGCTGTTATTAGTTCAGATTTGCAATAAAGTATAAAATGATGAAAAAAAGAATGATGAAAAAATGATGAAAACTAGAAGGCTAGTTCACTTGCTAAGCTTCTTCCTTGCCACTGTAAACCCTGACATTTCTTTCCTGTTGTAAGTATTCAATTCTTGTTCATTGACCCTGTTATCTGTAATATATTGTACTTCCTCATTTTAGAGAAATAATAAATGTTCATATATATGTCATAATTATATACCAATGATTAAATCAGCCAACTTTTTCCTCACAGACTTTTTTCAGTTAGCAAATTATTATAGAGTAAATCATTCAGCTGCTTGAATATAACTTTTTTAAAGAACCCCGAAGCCTTTGAAAGCTTCCTAATAAAGAAAAATAACATGAAACTGCCTAAGAATCTTTTTTTTTGAGACGGAGTTTTGCTCTTGTTACCCAGGCTGGAGTGCAGTGGCACAATTTCGGCTCACCGCAACCTGTGCCTCCTGGATTCAATTCATTTTCCTGCCTCAGCCTCCCAAGTAGCTGGGATTACGGGCATGTGCCACCACACCCAGCGAATTTTGTATTTTTAGTAGAAACGGGGTTTTTCCATGTTGGTCAGGCTGGCCTTGAACTCCTGACATCAGGTGATCTGCCTGCCTTGGCCTCCCAAAGTGCTGGGATTACAGGCATAATCTGAAACTGCTTAAGAATCTTTATTGGCCCATTTATACCCTCAGAAAAATAATTCAGAATGAGATATGTTTTTAATGGTGAACTATTACTGCTTTCATATATAAATGATGACACATCTAGTTTGTTTTAAAGACCACCACTTTTCATTAAAATAAATTATTGATCTTTTAAAAAAATTTTTAAGTCTTAGAACAATTTAAATAGAAATTTTGAATCAGTATAACATTTGACTAATTTATAGTACTAACAGCAAAGTTGTTGTTTCTTCTGTCCTGATTTTAACAATTCAAATAAAAAAATATTATTTCTTAGAGAACTTCCTAAAGCCAGATTATGCTGTTTTCAGGTAGCCAAAGAACCATGTTTTAAATCTTTTAGTTTATTCTAGATACTTTCTCCAATGAAATAATTTGTAGCATTGGAAAAAAATATTATTGCCAATGAAAATGACGCTTACGAAGTCTGTGAATTCAAATCATATAATATTTTTATTTATTTTGGATAGAAGAACCAATGTAGTAATCTTTAGTAATCTTTTTCCATAAGTTGTAAGCATAAATGAGAAAAGTTATGGTTAAAATATGAGTTTTCAAAAATTAAAACTCATCTAAATGTTAAATCATGTCTAAGTTACAAATTTGTAAGTATCTCAGAGCTCATAGAAGTTGACAGTTGATTAAAGTACTGGCTTTTTAAAAACATTTTATATGTAGTCTGGTACTAAATTTGAGTTGTAAAATTTTTCTTTCTCATCACATTGATAAACTATACGTTAGATAACATGTAGTTTTCTTGATTTATATTGCCTTGTTAGATGCGGCCACTATGATGTGGTTTGAGAAACTTCATGTGTGGCTTCTTTTCGTGGAGAAGAATATAATCTATCCATTGATTGTTCTCAATGAACTTAGCAGCAGTGCAGAGGCAATTGCTAGTCCAAAGAAACTAGATACAGAGTAAGTATAGTAGTCTTCTAATCTTGTCTGACTTCTGGGGACTGTTATATACAATGTCTTAAGTTGTTGGTAAAATGTTGAATAATAATTGAGTGTTTCCTTCATGCAAGGCACTGTGAGATTAAAAGTTTAGGTGACATTTTGTCCTTGACTTCCCCTTTTTAAACATCTGTTTCTGCTGTTGGCATATTCTGTACTCCAGACATCTCATTGTCGATTAATATTTTATGGGAGGACATTTTAAAAATAAGCTTAATTTTTAATATTAGTTGGCTGTTTTGATGTACCTTGTAACTTACACTGTTTAGATGGGCAGCCATGGTGGTCTGATAGACCTGCCTAATAGGGGAGGTACCTGTTGTTGAGTAAGCATCAATATGTTTTTCATTTGCTAAATGCAGTTGATATTAAATAGAAATATTGAGAAACTAGAGAATCAGATATGAGAATTACAATATGATTATTTTTAAAACATGGTCATTCATATAAAGGATAAGAATCATAATGAATAGTATTAAAAGGAAGTATATACTTTCCGGATGTGATTTACCTAGCTATGGACATCATTTTTTGGAAGCTTCCATTTAATGTATACCTTGTGAGCTTAGTAAAGTAAATGGTGAATTTTATTTTAAGTTATTGCCTCTTCTAATGTTTTCAGTCATGAGTTGATTTGTGTTTTCTTTGTGTCACAGATTAGGTGCTTTAATGATCACCATTGCTGGTTTGAAGTTGCTACGATCCTCTTTTAGCAGCCCTACATATCAGTATGTCACAGTCATCTTTACTGTGCTCTTTTTCAAATTTGACTATGCAGCTTTTTCAGAGACCATGCTGTTGGATCTCTTCTTTATGTCCATACTCTTCAACAAGGTAATTTATCACTGAAAGGAATATCCTTATAAAAACTGTCTCCCTAAGTTATGTGCTATTTAGTCAGGGTTTTTCTTATATTTCATTTGATTTATTATTGTTTAAGTAAGTACTATCTCTCTTTAACTGTTTATTTAGAAGCACATTAAAATCCCTAAACAAAGATAGTCACTGTGATTTATAAAACATGTATTTCTTTCTATAGCTAGGACAATAAGATTAAGTTGTATAAAACAATTAGAGAAACATTAATAAGTATGTGTTTTGGCTGGGCACGGTGGCTCATGCCTGTAATCCCAGCAATTTGGGAGGCCGAGGCAGGTAGATCACAAGGTCAAGAGATCGAGACCACCCTGGCCAACATAGTGAAACCCTGTCTGTATCAAAATAGAAAAATTAGCTGGGCGTGGTGGCGCATGCCTGGAGTCTCAGCTACTTGGGAGGCTGAGGCAAGAGAATTGTTTGAAGCCAGTAAGTGGAGGTTGCAGTGAGCTGAGATTGTACCACTGCATTCCAGCCTGGTGCCTGGCGAAAGAGCGAGACTCTGTCTCAAAAAAAAAAAAAAAAAGTGTCTATTTTTAAATATATAGAATCTCTGAAAAAGTATATAGTTTTGAATATTAGAAACAGAAGTGATAATAATTGAATTGGGCTCTGGCATGGCCCAGTGAAAGGGGTAGATGCTGAGGAGACTGAGGCCTGGTGGGAGCAGTCAGAAATTAGCTTGATAGGACATCTGCAGAATACTCTGAACTTTGAGGCTGTTGCTAAAATTCATTATCTACCCATAAGATATATGTTCTTAGGCCTTTTACAAATTAGATGGTAAAACCTTGGTCTTCTGCCTCCTAACCCAAGGATCTTTTTGCTAAGTCACTCTACCTTTCTCAGTGAAATAGGCTGTACAGTTAGATTGTCAGTGAAATAGGGATTAAATTTCATGTTAACACTGACTACATACAAAGGACTTTGACACATATGATCCCATTTGATAGGTAACAGAGAGCTGAAGCAAATGAACAGCCACAAAACACAATGAAATTCCAATTTTAGGGAAGTTAGCCTGGTCAGCCACATTTGGCTTCAGTTGGGGAAGAGAGAACCTAAAGGTACGGAGAACAGCTCAAGAGATAACAACAGTAATTCAGACGTGACAGTAGTCTGACCTAGGATGGGAACAGAAAAAATGGAGAGCCACTAATTGGAACAAAATTTCATCGATAGTTTCAATATCGTGATAAATAGCTTCTAAAATATTTCAATATTATATCTGTTCAGTCACTAATTTGCATTTTTATCATTTATTTCCTCTTCTAGTGAGTATGGTTGTTAACCAAAGGAGGAAGCCAGAAAGTTAATCAGAGAATTATATAAAGAAGCATGTGGTTTCTCACAAACTCAAATATTTAGATTGAAAATTGTATTTCATCTTAATACTGGTTGGAAAAAAGTGAAAGTTGCAGTAAAATATAAAGTAACTAATCTTTGAAATATAGTTGCTACACTTAACTCTCATTTAGTTTGGATTTTTTTAATACTTTGATTTAATTTTTTTAAAAACAAAAAACTGTTTTAGAACTGTTCTAGATGCTTAGGCTACACCAGTAAACAAAGCAGAGAAAGCTTTCCCCTTGGATTTTTATTTAAATTGATCAATAGATAGAATTTAACAATGGTAGTAATATTCAAGGGATTTCTTCAGATTTTTTTTGTGTTAAGATATCATTGCAAGCTCCATCATGGATTTAATAACCTTTCAAGGAAATAAATGTATACAAAAATTCCTTTTCCTACCAATCCTTACCCATGTAATTACATATTATTTTTTCTTTAATATTACAGTCAGAATTGGAATACAGTTTGTTTCACACTTAGAATCTGAAGAGGTTTCTGAGTCATTGCTTTTAAGTCATTGCAATGGCATCACGATGATATACATGCTGCTTTTACTTACCATGATCCTGATTACATTAATGCCGAGGATTGCTAGTATAATTTTGAGTCATGGCAAAAATACTGCAGTTTATCTACATTTTTTAATTGGTTGAATTTGTGATTTCTTTTTTAAATTGGAAGTTAAGGGAGTTCATTTGTAAATCAGTGAAAGTATTTCAGAAGAAGAAGTGATTGTTGCCTAATCATGCAGAGGAGTCTTGGACAAGTACAACTCTGTTTCAGCATTGAAGAAGTATTCAACTGTAACATGTCCAACCTTAAATAAAATTAAAATGTGTATCCTGTTTCCACTGACAACCATTAGGGTTATGAACAGATGCCTAGTATACGCAACTAGATTTCTGTGGAAACAGGCAGTGACAACTATATTACAACTGCTGTTTTCACATTCCTTCTGACGTTACGTTTAAAACATACTCAGTTTCCAGAGCACTAAAATTTGAGGAAAATGTGTCTTAGAATAAAATAAATATATGTACTGCTTAAGCTTTACAGACGTCTTGTTTTTTTGTTTTTTTTTTCAGGAACAATTATTTGATCGCTTTCTACCTTACTTAGTTTTCTTGTAGTAGCAGTAATATGGCCAGTAGAGGGCACAGAATATTTTGAACAGATGAAACCCAAATCCATATACAGCTACCAGTGTCTTTATTCAGAAATAAGTGCAGTGTTTAGGCAGTTGATAATATCTTTTCATGTTATGCAAATGGCAAATAATTTCAGTGCCATTTCCCTATTAGGAATAAAATATATTTTACAGGTTTTTCATTTTCTAATTCAAATATCTGATGATTTTTCCTTTTTTTACTGACAGCTATTCTTTTCCTCCTGCAGCTTTGGGAACTCCTTTATAAATTGCAGTTCGTGTATACCTATATTGCCCCATGGCAGATCACATGGGGTTCTGCTTTCCATGCTTTTGCTCAGCCTTTTGCAGTGCCCCGTATCCTTCTAATTAAAGTATAATAAGAATGGACAGTCATATCCTTGATAAGAATGTTGGTTTATAAGCTTAACCTTTCACAGGCATAGGTAAGAGTTTACTGTGTAATAAATCATCAAAAATTCATAGTCTCGACCAGGCACGGTGGCTCATGCCTGTAATCCCAGCACTTTGGGAGGGTGAGGCGGGTGGATCACCTGAGGTTGGGGAGATGAGCCTGACCAACATGGAGAAACCCCGTCTCTACTAAAAATACAAAATTATCTGGGCATGGTGATACATGCCTGTAATCCCAGCTGCTTGGGAGGCTGAGGCAGGAGAATTGCTTGAACCCATGAGGTGGAGGTTGCAGTGAGCTGAGACAGCGCCATTGCACTCCAGCCTGGGCAGCAAGAGCGAAACTCCATCTCAAAAAAAAAAAAAAAAAAAAAAAAAATTCGTTATCTTTTGCATCCACACTTAACTGATTTTGATTGTTTAACTTGTATTAATATCTGTGGCCCACAGATTATCTGAACATAAGAAAAATATTCAGATTTTGTAAGAAAGTAATGCTGATTTAAAATCTTAAATTTGCATATGTGTATATTAAGGTCCAAGATTTTTTAATACATACAAGAAATGTTTAGCATTATTTTTTAATAAATGAAGGTATAAAACATTTTTTCATGATGTGTTTATGAAATGGATAGAATTAAACTTCTGTCCAAAATTTTTCTATTCTCACCATTTTTTAGAAGTACTTTCTAAGTAACAGTAACGGTTAGTGACCACATTGATATGGAAAGGCAGACTAAACAATATATACAAGTTTTAGTTTTAACTTTGTGGAAAATTGAACTCTAGCATTTCTTCCCAAGATTAATATATGAACTTTTACCAAATACGTATTAGCAAATATTGATTTGGCTCCCTTGAAACCATCATACCAGGTTGTACTTTTCATATGTTTTTCTGCTGGTGACCCCTTAATGGCTGCCTGGTGATACCTTCTTTTGTATTCTTCTGGTGGACCTCATGTCTCTAATTGATGTAATCTAAATGTGTCTGCTAAGTTTTTGTGAGGGTTTTTTTTGGCATCTGTGCTTAGATTAATGTCAGTTTCCTTAACTAGTTTTCCCATAGACTCAGCCATGCTGTTCATTCAGGCTGCTGTCTCGGCCTTCTTCTCTACTCCACTGAATCCCTTTCTGGGAAGTGCAATATTCATCACTTCATATGTCCGACCTGTGAAATTCTGGGAGAGAGACTATAAGTGAGTAAAGTAAAACACTTGAAAGACAATTTTTATCTTTTCTACTGGGAAAAACTATTGACAGCATTATTAGTAAAATTGATGGTTCATAATTTATTGTATTGAAATATTTATTTTTGCTAAAACTTTATAAATATTTTTAAAATTTGAAAAGTATGTAAAAGAAGAGAACAGAGGATATTACCTTTTTTTCTTTTATTTTTATTATTTTTTGAAACACGGTTTCATTCTGTCGCCTAGATGAGTTCAGTGGTACGTCTTGGCTCACTACAACCTCCACCTCCTGGGCTCAAGTGATCTTCCTGCCTCAGCCTCCCAAGTAGTGGGGACTACAGGCATGAGCTACCACACCAGCTAATTTTGGAAGTTTTTGAAGAGATGGGGTTTCACCATGTTGCCCAGACTGCTCTCGAACTCCTGAGCTCAAGCAACCCACCCGCCTCTGCCTCCCAAAGTGTTAGGATTACAGACATGAGCCACTGTTCTCAGCCATTTTTTTCTACTTAAAAGATATTTTTAAACATTCTGATTGAGTATGTTCATTTTTATATCTTTTTTCTTTCAGTGATATTAGAATTATTTGACATTAATAATACTCCCAACCTTATGCTGTATAATATCATTATAGCAGTCATAATGGGTTATAGTTTTCTTAGAAATACCTATTTCTAAAGATAAATTTTTATAGGTTATTTCTGCTATTTTGAGAAGATAAATTTTTAATGACCATCTTTGTGCATGAAGTATTTTCTCCATTTAGGCGTGGTTCCTTAGACTAGCTATTTAATCTAAAGCTTAGTAACTATCCTCGTATGTAATCTCTCCACATTTCATTTTATTTCAGAAAGCATTCCTAAAAGGGAATACTTTTAGGAGTTATGAGTTATGGAGCATAAACATTTTAAAGCCTTTTTTCTTTTCTTTTTTTTTTTTTTTGAGACAGAGTTTCTCTCTTGTTGCCCAGGCTGGAGTGCAATGGCGTATCTTGACTCACTGCAACCTCTGTCTCCTGGGTTCAAGCGATTCTTCTGCCTCAGCCTCCCAAGTAGCTAGGATTACACACCCAGCTAATTCTGTAATTTTTTTTTTTGTAGAGATGGAGTTTCTCCATGTTGGTCAGGCTGGTCTCTAACTCCCGACCTCAGGTGATCCGCCCACCTCAGCCTCCCAAAGTGCTGGGATTACAGGTGTTAGCCACCATGCCTGGCTAAAGGCTTTTAATATATATTAACACATTGGTTTAGAAAGAGCTTGTGGTAATTTATAATTCTACTGGCCATCTCCATGACTACCTTTCTGTCCGTACTTTCACAAATTACATTCTTTAATAGGTGAAAATCGTAATCTCACCTTTTAATCAATGGGCTAGTTTGTAGGTTTGAAACTTTTACTCTGGTCCTTTGTCTAAAACCACACATAAGTAGTTCCCATTTTGGTGAATTTTGGTGTTATTTATTATTATTATTCTGGACTAATTAACCCAAAGTAATACTCAGTGGCAGCAGTTCTTTTTGGCTTTAGAACCTCTTTATACTTTGAGACACAGTTTCACTCTTGTCACCCAGGCTGAAGTGCAATGATGTGATCTCAACTCACTGTGACCTCCCCCTCCTGGGTTCAAGCAATTCTCCTGCTTCAGCCTCCCAAGTAGCTGAGATTACAGGTGCCCACCACTAGTCCTGGCTAATTTTTATATTTTTAGTAGAGACAGAGTTTCATCATGTTGGTCAGCTGGTCTTGAACTCCTGACCTCAGGTGATCCACCAGCCTTGGCCTCCCAAAGTGCTGGAATTATAGTTGTGAGCCACTGCGCCCAGTCTTATGCTCTTAAAAATTATTGGAAACACCAGTTTTAAAAGTATGAATTTTATCTACTAATATTTACTGGAGTGGAAAGAAAAACTAAAAAATTTCAAATCTTATTAACCAATTTAAAAATAACAATATGATGTCTATTGTGTATTAGCATAAATAACATTTTAAAGTTAAGAATAACTCTATTTCCACCCCCCAAAAAAAAAATTAATGAGAAGAGTGGCATTGTTACATAGTTTTGCAAATCCTTAATGTCTGGCTTATTAAAAGACAACTGGATTCTCATATCTACCTATATGTTCAGTCGGTTTTAGTATATTGTTTTGACTGAAGTATGTGAAAAACAATTTTATCCTCATACTCACTGTGTTGGCCAGGCTGGTCTTGAAATGCTGACCTGAAGTGATCCACCTGCCTTGGTCGTCTTCCCAAGTACTGGGAGTACAGGCATGAGCCACCGGTGCCCAACCAAAAAAGATGTATTCTAATAGTCTTTTAAGACAATCATGGATAGTTTTCTTTGCTCTTTCACTGAAACCGGAGAAATGGAGCTTCTTAAAATCTACTTGCAATATGGAATCTAAAACTATATCTGTGGTCTTTTAGAACTATATTATATTAATATAGTTACTGATAGATAAATATACTCTGAATGGATCTTTTACCCATGCATAATTTTGTAATATTTTGTATTAGATATTTGGAAATTACTACTTCATTGAGTAATATATTTTCTAAATGTTGATACATCTTATTATGTAGTGATTTTAAAAATATGTTCATTGATATCACCACCAATTGGAAAGAAAATTTAATTATTGGAAAGCTGTCAAGCTCATGGTTGTAGATATGAGTTTCCTAAAATTTTAATTTTTGTTTGAAAATTTGGATTTTTATTATTGTCAACAGGTATTTCCAGTTGTTTTTCTTGAAATAACAGGCTCAATTTCTTTATTTTTGAGAAATACCTGCTAAATGCCCACATCTAAATAGTCTCATAATTTTTCCATCAGTGTTAAGTAAAAATGGTGTTCCAAGAGAAAAAACACAGCTAGTTCAGCTCAGAGTTGAAGCAGTTGCACAAATCCTTTCCCTCATGACAGCCATTGTACTTCGGAAGGCAGCACAAGTGCTTCATACGTATTTTCTCATTTTGCCATGCAGAATATTAAAAGCCGTACTATGGGTTGAGATTTAATAAAGTTAATACATTTTACTTCTTCATTAGGGACATTTTTATGTGAAATTTGGATTTTTTGTTTGCTTTATTGTGCGAGTGTAGCAGCAAAGGGTAGTACAGTTTGGCGCTGCCGCCTTGATTCACGCCCAGGCACCACAGGCTTACCCACCACTGCAGTTGTCAACACGATGAAAGAAGCAAATAACAGCTCAGTGTTACTTTGAAAATAGTTTTGATCTGGAAGAGCCTTGAGTTCTATGGACCACATTTTGGGAACTGCTGTTCCAAAGAACACTGCATCACTGAGCATTGATAGATACACCTTCCTTTGGCAAAGAATGTTCTAAGCTCTTTGAATTTCTGAGAACCATATATAGTATACATTTTTTCATCCTGGTCAGATTTTCTTTTTCACAGTGCATGCATAAATGTCTTTCCATACGCTGTAAAAAAAAAAAAAAAAAAAAAAAAAAAAACTGCTATGTTGATGTGTGGTGAAGGAGGGAGAATTTTTTTTAAATTCCCGAAAGTGCTAACAAGGCATTTTATCATTACACTAATCACAGATTTTTTTCTAGAGATTTTCATAAGGTGGTAACCTTTATTCATTTTCTGTAGTTTCTCCCTCACTGTTGTTAAATATTTTTTAATGTAAAGAAAGTTACTAAAAATGTTTTATTTTCTTTAGCACAAAACGAGTGGATCATTCAAATACCAGATTGGCTTCTCAGCTTGATAGAAATCCAGGTAATAGCTCTGTTTGTGAATAAGGAGGCAAGTCTAAGGATTTGTTTATATATATATATATATATATATATATATATATATATATGTTTATATTCACTCCTTACTTGTTGGGAATCCTCTATGAATTCCAAATATTCACTTTTAAAAACTAAATATTATTTGTTTTACTTTAGCAAAGTATATGTGAGTTACAGTGTCTACAATTTCTATACCCATCTTTTATAAAATGCATCTTAAGAATGCTTATAAGAAGGAAAAATTCCATTCAAACATTATTCTTACATAGGTTAAAATGTAGAAAAATGGTTAAAATAAAACTGGTCAGATGTGTTGAAGGGTATGCAGTCAGACTGACACATGTTTTATTAGTATGTTTGCTTCCACCCTTCCCTCAATGTTTAGGTCAATATTAATTTAATTTGATTCAATTTATTGTGTAAAGAGATGTCATCAAGTTGGGGCATATAGCTAGTCAGGATAGAGCTTCAATGGGTGACACCTTGCTGGTGTTACCATTATCTGAAGTCTGGTTCTTAGTTTTGTCATTTGAGAAACATCATTTTATTGGCCCACCCAATAGTAGTCTGTCACAAACAATCAGAGATTATCATATCAACTAGAACTTCAGTGTATTAATTTACTAAAAGAAATATTACTCCCAAGTGTACTGGAGTATTTGTATCTATTTGACTCATAAATTCCCTCAAATCCGATAGATTCTCAGTGATAAAATTGGACTAAGGAAAACTAGTTATTTGATATGGATGACCATCTATCATCATGTTCTGGTAGAGAAAATAAGCATTTCAGCCCTAGTGTGTGCTTGTAAGGGGCTAGATCTCTCATGTTGCTGATGCCATCCTGCGTAACCAAAGGCCATATCCTGAATCAGTATATGCACTTTTGTATTGTGCTGACGTAGAACTGATACAGCCATTTTGTTGACGTTAGAATCTGGGGTTTCCCTTTCATTATTATTTAATTAGACTGAGTCTAAAATAATTATTAAACTTTGAATAAACCGTTCACCAGTACTATACTTGGGACATGCATTTACAGATTATTGCTTTGGATGAGTTACTTCTAGAGATGGTCATATCATTTATTAAGTGATGTTTATTTTAATGTCTCTTTTCTTTTCCTTTTTTTTTTTTTTTTTCCTTTTCTTTCTTTTTGAGACAGAGTCTTGCTCTGTCACCCAGGCTGGACACAGTCACGGCTCACTGCAACCCACACCTCGCAGGTTCAAGCGATTCTCCTGCCTCAGCCCCCCAAGTAGCTGGGATTACAGGCATGCACTGCAACACCCAGCTAATTTTTATATTTTTAGTAGTGACAGGGTTTCGCCATGTTGGCCAGGTTAGTCTCCTGGCCTGAAGTGATCTGCCTACCTCATGAGGCCTTAAAGTGCTGAGATTCCAGGCATGAGCCATGACGCCCAGCCTGTCTTAATGTTTTTTTTTTTTTTTAAGATTCTCTGTGCTATATACTGTTTATTTCTGCTTAATATTAGTCATCTCAATATGGCTAGTACTGACTAACCAACTTCTTTTTGATTGTCTTATTTGTTCAAATCTTGTATTATTTTATCTACTTCCTTTACCATATAATCTTTTTGTTCCTCTTCTGAATTTTTATTTTTTTAAATTTCTCTTACATGGTTTTAATTATAAGCCATATTTCATTGAATAATTATGAACTGTTGAATAGGTCGAAAGTCCTTAGATTGCTTCAAATCAAATTCCCACATTTTGTGAATGGGAACTGTAGATTCTGAGAGGTTATGTGACTTCTAAATCTAAATTCAGAAACCTTTTTCATTTTCCTATGTGTTACTTTTACATAGAAACTGTAAGAGTATGAATATTATTTTCCTCATCAAATAAACTAGAAGTTTTTAGTATTTTTAACAATCTGTGTGTAAAGGGGACTTAAGGTGAAATTTAACTTTTTTTAAAATCCGTTTTTACAGGATCAGATGACAACAATCTGAATTCCATCTTTTATGAACATTTAACTAGATCCCTACAACATAGCCTCTGTGGTGATTTGCTACTAGGACGGTGGGGAAACTACGGTACAGGGGACTGTTTCATCCTTGCCTCTGACTATCTCAATGCATTAGTACACCTTATAGAGATAGGCAATGGTCTGGTCACTTTCCAGCTGCGGGGACTTGAATTCAGAGGTAAGATGTTCATTCACCTTTTATTTCTATAGCATACTCCAGTAGCACCTAAGTTTTACATGTTTCTGTATCAAACCTTCTGGTTCTCATAGAATTAGATACTTGTGCTTGTGGAATGAGAAAAGTTGCTAAAGATTAAGTATTAGATTTTTTTACCCCACATTCCATGTTCCAAGAAGAATCATGTTTGCAGTATGGCTTCATATGTAAAGGTAGTAGCATTTGTGTATAATTGATTTGTTTTCCTGGATAGGTTGAATTTCTTTTGTTTTGTGCTTGGTCTGTTCTTGGTCCCTTTTGTGACCAGTTGCATAAATTTGTTAGATAGCTAGCAACATGGAATGCTGAATTTTTGTTTGAGACAGAATAGTTAGCTGAGTTATGTTTATATAGACACCATGGCTTTGTCCTCAACAATTCTTTTTTTTTTTTTTTTTGAGACGGAGCTTCATTCTCGTTACCCAGGCTGGAGTGCAATGGCGTGATCTCGGCTCACCGCAACCTCCACCTCCTGGGTTCAGGCAATTCTTCTGCCTCAGCCTCCTGAGTAGCTGGGATTACAGGCATGCGCCACCATGCCCAGCTAATTTTTTTGTATTTTTAGTAGGGACAGGGTTTCACCATGTTGACCAGGATGATCTCGATCTCTTGACCTTGTGATCCACCCGCGTCAGCCTCCCAAAGTGCTGGGATTACAGGCTTGCGCCACCACGCCCGGCTTAACAGTTCTTTTTAATTGAAGTGAAATGCACGTAAAATAAAATTGTTTCGAGCGAAGAAATCAGGAGTGTTACTAAATGCTCAACATTCACAGTGTTGGGCAGCCACCATCTCTGTCTCATTCCAAAGTGTTTTCATCACTCCAAAATAAAACACTGTACCCATTAAGTAGTTACTGGCCTTTCTCCCTTCCATCAGCCCTCTGCAGTTTTATGCACTGATAAATTGCTTACAGAAAATCATGCATTCAGAAACATCAACTTGATGTTATCAACTCCTGTAAAACTGAATAACGTGTAAGCACCAGTAGAAACTGGTTTCATAGGAAGTTTAAGTCCTTTTACTGAATATCTCTCCAGTTTAGGAAACATTTAGACTTAAGAGTTTTCAGAGAGTTTTTAATCTAGTCTAAGAAGTGCTTTGGAGTATTTTTAGTCTGGAATAGAAATAAGAAAGCATTTGACTACAAAGAGGATGAAGCCAGATCTATAACCCCATAGCTTTATTTTCACCCTGGTGTTGCTTAAGAAGGCTTGCCTGTTCGCTATGGAGTGTCTATGTTAGTGGAGCAAGTACTAGTCTAGAAGTTACATTGTTCACTAGAAATGTCTTTAGCTATGCAGCTCTCAAATTAATGGAGTAAATGGTGATGTTTACTTGTGATCTGTTTATAATCCATTCATATTCTCTTCCCCTTCAAAATATCCTATTCTTGTCTTATGAATATTTGTTTCTGCCTCTCTATCAGGAGCCTAGGACCTTAATTCTGGCTCTTCTAGGGTCTTAACCCCAGGCTGTTCAAACCTAATTCAACTAGGCTGATCCAAAAGTTATCATACCCTTACCACCATTCCTACTACTGCTGTGACTTTTAGCTTCCTTTTTAAGTTTTGGCACCTGAAGACTTCATCCTTGTTTTTTAATTTTAATTTAATTTTTTAAAACAAATGTATGTGGGAGGCTGTTTTATCTAACATTTCTATGTATATGAAATGAAAGGGGATTCTTCTTACCATCTGCTCACTCCACCGTGTTGATCAGTAGTTCTCCAAATCAGAAAAGTTATCCAGATTTTCACTCTCTGGTATTGAGTAGATTCAAATAAACTTTTGGATAAGTCTTTTGCTGTCTAAATGCTAAGTTTTGTCAATTGAAACTCAAATTTGGAAATAGAGTAACCCTTACTATTTGAACTCCTACAGATTTGGGTAACAAGGGATACCTATAATTCTTAACTCAGACGTAAGCTTTTTTTTTTTTTTTTTTTTTTTAAGAGACAGGGGTCTCGCTCTATCACCCAGGCTGAAGTGCAGTGGCGTCATCACAGTTCACTATATCTTCAAACTTCTGGGCTCAAGGGATCCTCTTGCCTCAGCCTCCTGAGTAGTTGAAACTACAGGTGCACACCACCGCTGCTGGCAATTTTTTTTTTTTTTTTTTTTTTTGTAGCGATGGGAGTCTCATCATCTTGCCAAAGCTGGTCTTGAACTCCTGAGCTCAAGCGACCCCCGCGCCTTAACCTCCCAAAGTGCTACGATTATAGGTGTGAGCCACCGCACCAGCCAGGATTTTTTAAAAGACATGTTTGATCATGGCATTCACATGCTTAAAATTTTTCAGTGACTTCTCATGTGTTTAAGATAGAATTCAACTGCCAGAACATGTCCTACAGTACTCTGTGATCTGGCCTCTGCCACTTTCTCCATCCTCACTTTATAGCACTATCTGCACTCACTGTAGCCATACTGGCCTTCTTGCAGTTTCTTAGATGTGCTAAAGTCTTTACTAAGAACTCCTTATTGCTCTTCATTTTGCCAGAAGGTACCAGCCGTCTCTCTTCCTCCCCTAATCCTCCATCTGGCTGTTTCCTTTGCCTGAATGTTCTTTTCTCAGAGAAGCCTTCTCTAGCCACCTGTCTCACGTGATGATCTCGTTATACCCTGTTTGTCGTTAGACTCTTCCACAGTCATGGATTGTAGCAGTGGACTACATGTATCACAGTGATCCCTTAAGATTATAATGGAGCTGAAAATTTCCTGTTAGTGACATCGTAACCATTCTGTCCTAGCACATAGCATTACTTATGTTTATGGTAATGCTAGTATAAACAAAACTATGCTAACCGGTCATATAAAAATCTAGCACATACAATTATGTACAGTACATAGTACTAGATAATGATAATAATTGTGTTTACCATTTGTACTTTTTATGGTTAGAATGTGGTTTTTTATTTAAAAAAAAAGTTTGGAACAGTATGTCTCGTTATGCCAGTGGCAGACTCATACATCTCACATTTACCATGTCTCTTGATTGCATCATTTTCTCTGTATTTCATTTGATCTTGTGTCATTTTGTTTTATGGCCCCAATGTGTACAAAATTCACAGCTAATGTTGCCAAGAAGAGGCCACTTCGAGTAGATTGACCAGTAAGCTAAATTAAAAGTGGTTAAGGACTATGAAGGTGGCAAATCAGCAATGGTTATTGCTTGCCAGGTAATTATGTCTCATTTCACTATAGCTATGATCTTGAAGAACAAGAACAAAGTGATGAAAGCTGTTAAAGGATCTACTTAATTGAAGACAAAAAGATTAACAAAAATTTGAAAAGGGCCTAAATCAGACGTGGAGAAACTACTGAAGACCAGACACAGAAGCATATACCTCTCAGCATCATGACAACCTCGGACAAAACAAAGAGTTTCTTTGCGATATTGAAAGAAAAGGTTGAACACAACTACGGTGTTGAATTTTCTGATAGCTTTGGGTGATTTTATTCAAGAATTGTTCTTTGCTGCATAATGTGAAAGCTGGTAAGTGCTGAGTCTGTAAATGCTGATGTGAAAGCAACTGAAGAATTTTTGGAAACTCTAGATAAGCTGATTGTGAGGAAAATTACTTGACAAGGCAAATATTCAGTATGGATGAAAGCTTGCTGTTCTGAAAACAGATACTGGAAAGGACTTTTCATCCATAAAGAGGCCAAGTCAATGCCAGGTTTCAAGGCATTAAGGACAGGAAAACAGTCTTGCCTGGGGAAATGTTGCAGGTTACAAATGGAAGCCTTTTGTGATCTTGCCCAGTGAGAACCCCAGGGCCTTCAAGCTTATCACTAAACATACACTGCCAGTATATTGCAGGAGCAATAAGAAGTCTTGAATTGCCCAGCTTTTCTTCCAAGATGCCCTCCTGAATTGCTCTGCTAGAGCAATGGAGAAGTACTGTTTGGAGAATAACATACCATTCAAGATTGTGCTTATTGTTAATAATGTTCCACATATCCTCCTTTTATTGGTGATCTTTATCCCAGTATCAAAGTGGTATTTCTGCCTCCAAATACCATCTCTCTGATCAGCCAGTGGATCAAGGAGTTATAGCAGCTTTTCAGGCCAACTACCTGAGAAGGATGTTTACCTGGGCTATTTCTGCAACTGAGGAAGATACTGATGCGATTCTGGAAGGATTACATCTGTGACTGCATCAAGAACCTCGCTTAGGGTGATGTCACCAATGTGCATATGAGTGGCATCTGGAAGAAGACACTCAGGAGGTTCGTCTGTAACTTTAAAGGATTTTCCAAGGATGAAGAGGTTGCAAAAATCAATGTGGCTGTGATTGGAGATGGCAAACAACTTTAATCATGGTGTGGACGAGGATGACATTGATGAGCTCCTACAGGTGGTTTCTGAGGAACTCACTAATGAGAGGATGTTGGAACTGGAACAGGAATGCATAGCTGAAGAACAGGCAAGGGAAACTGCTAGAGAAGAAAAAGAAGAAAGCCCAAGAAAACTGACAGTGAAGGGTTTAGTAGAAGCTTTTGCAGACCTCAACAGTCTCCTTAAAAACTTTGAAAACATGGATCCTAACACCAAAAGATTTTCATTAATAGAGAGGAGTGTTCTTGCTGCATTTTCTGTATACGAGCAAATCTATGATGAATGAAAGAAACAAACCAAGCAAACTATTGTGAACGTATGTCTTCCAAAAGTGATACCTCCTCAAGAAGAGCATCAGGCAGATCCTTTAGGAAGTGTCCAGAAGAAAGCATTGTTGTCACAGGAGATGGCAGCTCTGTGCGTGTCATTGCTTCTGAAGTCCTTCCAGTGGGACAAGATGTGGAGATGGAAGACAGTGATATTGATGACCCTGACCCTTTGTAGGCCTTGGCTTATGTGTGTGTTTGTGTCTTAGTTTTTAACAAAAAAGTTTAAAAAGTAAAAAAAATTAAAATTTTAAAAACAGAAAAAAGCTTATAGAATAAGGATATAAAGAAAAA